AAGATCATACCAATACGTACATGTGCCATAATGGAATTAAACACAGACTTGCTTGATAAAAGACTACACAACTATTTGATTGAAAAAAAAAACAGAAGAAAATGCCTATCGGAGAATTATAAAAAATCTGCTGGGTCTCTCTTAAATCTGGTATATGCATACCATGTCTGGAAAATCATAGAAGAACAAAAATGTTGTATGACGTAAAATTGATACTTGACTTTATTCTAAAAAACGTAAACTCATGCATTCCAAAAAGTGCGAGGAATACCTCCATATCACAGTTATGTAACGCCGAATGGAGAATGAGTGAGCCTAAAACGGACAAATGGAAAGACGAAATCAGTCAGATGACCATGTCCATGATACGTTTAGAGAATTGGTTAAATAACAAAACGCTGTAAAATACTATATATTTTTTTATTTATAATAAAAGATTGTATGCACAGATGTTTGTCTCATTATCTTTATGTTGACAGAAGAGGATGGGAGACGCATAAATGCGGTGTATTATAACTTAAAGAACGGTGGTGCCTTTCTCAGTCCCACAAAAGTACATCAAATATTAAAATCACAAGGATTTAAATCGCCAGGTCTTTATAAAATTAGACGATACATCCTAGGTCTGGATGATTACAGTTTACAGAAGCCTCCAAGGCGTTCATTTAAGCGAGCACGGGTAGAAGTGTCGGGTCCCTACGAGCAATACGATATAGATCTTGTAGACGTTTCCTCCCAATCAAAGCAGAATTCAGGCTATCGTTTTCTTCTAGTTGTCATTGACGTGTTCACTCGTTTCTTATTAGTCGAATCTGTAATGACAAAAACGGCCAGAGATGTATTAAATGCATTTTAAAAAATCGTTGAAAGAAGTAGAGTACCAAAACGTATTCGGAGTGACAAGGGAGGCGAGACAAACAATGGATTGATGAGAAAATGATCTCAAGAATGTGACGTTCATTATTTTACCAGTCAGAATGAAACAAAAGCTAATTATTCCGAGAAGGTGATTAGGACGCTCAAGACGATGATGTACAGGTATTTCACAAAATATATGACTTATAAGTACATAGACAAGTTGCAAGATTTTGTTTGGAATTACAACGCTACACTTCACAGATCATTAAACGGAATATCTTCAGAAGATGTAAACGATTCAAATAAAGCCGATATATTTACCTATTTGTGTCTTAATAAAAAGTCAAGGAAACAGATTAAAACAAATACGAAAGTCAAAAGGAAAATACAGTTTAAATTGAAGATTGGAAGTCTCGTAAGAATTTCACATTTAAAGCAACCTTTTACTAGAGCTTATCAACAACAATGGTTTTCCGAAATGTTAAAAATACATAAACTCTTTCTACGTCAGGGTATTCCACAGTACCAACTGATTGATTTTTTTAAACAAGCACATAAAAAGCATTTTTTATCAATCGAAATTGCAAAGAGTCGGCAAAGACGAGAACGCGCTATGGTTCATCGAAGAAAAGCTGAAAAAACGTAAAAGAGGAGGGCAGATTGAATGGCTTGTAAAATTTGAAGGCTGGCCTTCAAGATATAGCCAATGGATTGCAGAGAAAGATATCAAAGACGTCACGAGAGCCTTAGATGTCACACTATGTGGTTATTCACATTGATAAGAGTTAAACATATTTTCCAGAAAACATTACCGTACATTTTCGAGCACATTTCCAATCTCTGTTAAATTGATGGATTTTGGAAAGTTGCTTTAGTGGATATTGCCCTACCTCCAAGAACATGAAAGACGAAACAAAATGTGTACGTACATAGTGACATATGCGGTGAAAGTTTTGCAGGAGCGTCGCACGTTCAGTCGCCGAAGCTGCCGCACACTCAGTCGTGAAAGTCGTCACCGATAGCAGGACCATCGCACGTACAGTCGCCCGGGGCCAGCGCTCGCTCAGTCACCGCTGGATGTGGAACCGCCGCAGTCGTCGCTGGATGTGGAACCGCCGGATGTGGAACCGCCGCTACCACCACCGGAATCACCTAAAAGAAACCAGGAAGGTAGCGGACAACAGCAAAATGGTACACATCAGTTTTCGGACGAAAGCAGTCTTAATGGGTCTGCAAATATAAGGAGTATATATCCCAATGACAACGATCGTATGAATTTGCTGACATTTTTTTTCAAATACTAGAGATGAAATAATGGGCAATTTAAAGCAGTCGTGTCAGAATTTAAATGGAATCAAGTGGTATTTGTGTGTTCAGGTCGAATTTGAAAAAAACACTTCATTTCAGAAAATGTTTGCCTCATTCGAGGAATATATTCATAAAGGATCTAGTTGGATTTTAAAATCAATACTGAAATTGAACGTAAGTATCGTAGACTACTGTCCTCTATCAGGTTCTTCATACGTACATGTACCTACCCCGCTCACTTTCAGATAGCATGGAATAGTCAATATCATCAACAACGATCGAAAATGTGACCCTCCCGAGCGTGTTTCTCATTTCGAAACCTACCAAAATGACCTTGACATGACAGATATCACTTATCCCGTCTCTATATCTCAAATTAATAAATTCGAAAAACAAAACGGCATTTCAGTTTGGATGCGAGAATAAAGAGATTTTTCCTCTATACGTCACGAAAATTAAACATGCAAGTCATGTAGTCAATTTACCTTCAGGAAAACAAAAACACCCATTATTGTCTCATTTCGAACTTTAACGTTTTCCTGACGAGAACAAAAAAAAACCAAAGATAAAACCCATTTTTGTTATTACTGTCTTCAAGGTTTCGGTCGTGAAGATATTTTGCACAAACACATCTAGCACTGCTCCAAACACGACCCCCAACGCGTCGAATTGCCCGGCGATAAACGCAACGATTCAGAGTTCAAAGATTTTGCAAAACAACTTCAAGTCCCTTTTGTCATATATGCAGATTTTGAGACCTTTGCACAAAAAATGGAAACGTGCCTTCCAAATCCAGAAACATCTAGTACTACTAAACATACGAAATTCGAACCGTGCGGGTTTGGATAACAAGTCGTTTATGCTAACGATAAGTATACGAAATCTGCAGTCATTTATAGAGGTACAAATTTCAGCAAAACATTTGTAGAACACATTATCGAAGAAGAAAAACAAATCAAAAATATTTAAGGGATCACAAAGAACCATTAAACAAGTCAAATGAAGACGAGCGAGTGTTTCAATCGAGCTACAAATGGCACATATGAAACCGCCCTTTTACCAAGATATGCAAAAAAGTGCGCAATCATTGTCATATTACAGGAAAATTTCGCGGAGCAGCACACATCGAATGCAACCTCAATTTCAAATACCCCTCTTCCGTTCCCGTGATATTTCACAACTTGAAAGGATTCGACGATCACATTCTGTGCGAAAGCGTAGGTTTATTTAAAGACCACAACATTACATGGCTACCCAACAATATGGAAAAATACATTTCCTTTTTGTCTAGGTGATCTTCGCTTCATCGATTCCTTTCAATTTTTGTCTCAGAGTTTGGAATCTCTTACCGAAAACCTTGCAAAGGAAGGTTTGTCTAAATTGAAACACTTTGCAAAAGAATTCGACAAAACAGAAGCGGAAATAATGCTCAGAATGGGCGTTTATCCGTATGAATACGTCAACTGTAGCGATAAATTTGACGAAACGTGCCTACCACCCATAAAATTCATCTACAGTCAGTTGAGTAAATCTCACATTTCACAAAAAGTCTACGATCATGCGCAAGTCGTTTGGAAAATATTAAACATTCAGAATTTAGGTCAATATCACGATCTCTATCTTAAAACGGAAGCGTTGCTCTTAGCCGAGGTGTTTGAAAATTTTCGAATCATGTGTCTAAATTACTACGCACTATACGTCGATCACTTTTACACCGCCCCCGTACTGGCATGGCAGGCAGCCAGCCTTGCAAATGGCGGGTGTCTGCTTAGAATTACTCACAGACTCACTGTTCTTTGAAAACGAAGTTTGCGGTGGTATTTCGATTGTTTCTAATAAGTACGCAAAAGCCAACAATCCCTACATCCCCAAAATTGTCTCGGACGAAGAGTAATCTCCCACAAGCAAAGCACTGCGGAGAGAGCTACATCCGAGCGATAAGCTTACGGATTCGAAGCTAGATGGCCGCTTAAAAACAGAAAAGTTGATCCCCAACCTAAACAACAAAATAAAATACATATGTCACTATAGAAACTTACAACTCTATCTAGATCTAGGCATGACAGGTACAAAAGTTCCATGGTTGAAGAAATACATAGAGGCCAATACTCGATGGCGGAAACTGGTAACAAACGATTTCCAGAAGGATTTTTTAAAACTGATTAACAACTTTGTATTTGGCAAAACCATGGAGAAGGTCCGTAACAGGGTAGATTTTAAACTTGCCCATACGACAACAAAAACTAAAAAAGTATTGCGCAAAACCTTCTTTTCAAAGATTTGCCATTTTCAATGAGGAGTTGACGGGTGAAAAAAACGCCAAAGTAAAGTTAATTTTAAACAAACCCGTGTATGTTGGTCAAGCAATCTTAGATTTATCAAAATGTATCATGTCCGAGTTTTACTACAAATATCTCAAACCGAAATATGGGCCGTGATAAAGTTATTATTCACTGACACTGACAGTTTTTGGACACGTGTTTTGTGACGATATCTATGTGGATAGACACCTATTTGACTTGTCTGATTATCCAATAGAACACTTCTGTTACGATTCGACCAACAAAAAATATACCTGGACTTTTTAAAGACGAAACCGCAGGCAAGCCTATCGCAGAATTTGTAGGACTCCGCGCTAAAATGTTTAATTTTCAACAGCCGTCCCGCAAACTTTTACTTTGGAAAATATGAGAATCACTACGAATTCGTTCAAAGAAAAGCAAGTGGCTACAGGCATTGCCAACGCTACCATCAAGCGCGACTTGCATCATGAGATGTACAAAGAATGTCTCTTTGACAAACAAAAACAAAATGTGCAAAATGCACTCCATTAGGAGCGATAGACATCATTTATGCATGTACGTGTACAACATCAACAAATCTGGGTTATGTGCTTTTGATGACAAGCGCTAGATTCTTCCCAATTTTTGCGATAGCTATGCCTTCGGCCATTACAAAACAAAGACGGTGTTGTAAAGCTTACACGACTTTAATAATAGATATTTTGTAAATGTTAGAAATGATTTATTATGTACAAAACTACTCCAATTAGTTCGAAATTTAACCAATAACATTATGTCATAGTTCATTATTCATTTCAATAACTATGTATCTCTATGTATTGTACATCAGGAAAAAAGCCTCATATCACTTTATGTATTCCTTTTACAATGTAATTATTTAATTATAATTTATATAAAGCAATGATGGAGTAGTAAAGTTTACGTCACATTAATAGTAGACATACATGTAGCTGTATGTCTTGTATTGCAAAACATAACTCTAAAATTATACAACAACCGATTACATGTTTTCAATGTATCTTTATGAATTGTACATCAGATGATAAAGCAAAGCCTCATTTTTACCTTTAAAGAATTTTATTTAAACAAGATCTGATTGAACACAACAAAGTCGAGAGTTAAGAAGAATTCATGTTATATTTTTGATATTTTAAATAACTAAATATTTTAACAATGGTTAATTCATTTGTTAGAAGATTATATATATATGTATATGTTTGTATATGTGTTGATATACAATAAAAAATACCTCTAAGACCTTCGTTTTGAATTTGATTGTCTTTTAAGAAACATTGCGGTAATGGTGTATAAGTTAATTAAGGCAACAAACACTATATTTTGGTACATCAAATCATGCTTTTAACTTCAACCGTTTCCAAGTCTATAAACTCTCTCGGTTCGGGATCAATTATCTGCACTGGCTCCAATATTTTTGTGCATATGTTTAACCTCTGCGTTTCTCTGTTGAATGATAATTTAACTTGTACTTTATTTTCACTCTCTGGAGTTTTTATAGTTAATTTGTAATCAATTTCATCTTCAGTTTTTTCACAGAATCGATGTACATTTCCTTTATCAAACATATTAATCACTAGAAATCGTACTCCGTGATGCTATTTATATTTCAATTGAATGAATGTTCTCTATTTCACCTGACAAATAAGAACAACCTTACACGAGATTAATTAAAGTACATGATTCAGCAAACTAGTTTTATTCTCCTGTTTTGAGGGAGACATTTCACCTCTAGCGTTGTTGATTGGTCAGTGTTAGGTCACTTATTCTGACACTTGGTCAGCAAATACTAAATTATTTTGGAGGTGAGTCTGAGCATGTGACCATTATGTGATAAACTAGAAACATTTTTTTGGTTATATGCTATTAAAAAAAAAGATAACGCTAGAATATTACAAATTTTGGAATGTATACACCACAATAACTCTTTTATATTAGAAAATACATGAATAAATGAAAGAGATTATATATATCTAGTATGGTCATTTAAATTATGCTATAGATCAGATGTTTTGAAATGTATACACCGTGTAGGCCTTACAATGTTCATGTTACAGCGAAATAATGCATGATTAACAAATAAATGGCTGGTTTTCATATCTGAGGAGTTGGTGTGGTTATTCACATACTATCTTGCTTTACTACACTAAGAAAACATTTAGACTGGCAGTGATTATCTGGATGGATAGTTGTCTAATTGGATGTGAAAAAAATGTAGACTCGAGGTTGTCACTTAAATGGAAATACATATATAATCTGCTACTAATCAGTAGAGAGTGCTACAGATGATAATGAAAACTGTAAGAGAGTTCCTTTATTTAAATGCCACATAAAGGTTCGTGGATTTTACACACAGACTGTTGTCTAGGTAGCGTCTTATTTGTAAAATAGACAAGTTCCTACATAAGATAACACAGAAACATATTTTTCTCTGTACAAAAATATGTCTAATAGCTTTAACCTTTGACCTTGTCAGTTCAGGTACGTTATCCTACATGAGCTCACCCTCCTTAATCTGTCTTCAATAAAGTGCCTCACAATCATGACTAACCTCACCCTCCTTCATCTATCATTACTATAATGCCTCACCATCCTCATCCTCCTTCATCTATCATTACTATAATGCCTCACCATCCTAACCCTCCTTCATCTATCATTATTATAATGCCCAACCATCTTCACCCTAACCTCACCAAAGAGGGTGAGGCTAAAGACTCCTTAAATACTTAATATCTACTTCGGTGAACAGACAAACGAAACCAACCCGTGAAACTCCTCGCTACTTCTTAACACGGGAAAAATATATGCATTGCACTGTCAGTGTATATCTAATGTATTATCAATATTAACATGCAAATATATAATGACATTTATAGATATGGAACTTGATATAAATGTGAGCATTTGATGAAATGCGTAGAATGTCGCTATTCCTTTGGCAAATTGTTAAGTAGATATAGTCAATCATTGGATATGTTAGTGACATCAAAATCAGCAAAGAATATCATCAAGTTGCGGTGTTCATTTTTCATATAAGCATTGGGATTTTAAATTCTATTAAAAAACGCCGAAATTAATCGCAGCCCTGAATTGTTGTATTTAATGAAACGCTGAATTGTTGTATTCAAAGAAAAGCTGAATTGTTGTATTTAACTAAACTCTTTATTGGAAATGTATCTTATTATTCCAATTTGTTATTAATAATATGAAGGTACGAACATAAGCAACTTGGGATAACAATTATGAATTGAAACTTTCAATGATTAACAGAGTGTACGTGCACTCTTTATGTTATTGACATGTTATAGAACGATACGATTCAAAAACTGATATGTACAACATACAATAACATTTATTGAAACAAAGGGATTTCTTAATTATGTTGAGTCTAAACTCCAAATACTGCAAAAGTGTACATGTTTGCGTTGCAAATGTTCCCTTGGTGACTCTTTAAAGTGATCGCAGTATTGAATTTTTTGCATTTGCAACAATTCTGAAATATATCTATTCCATTCATCAAGAATATGGAAAATCTTTCAAAGTTTATTTGCGTGTGAATATTTTCGCGCTAATTTACACAACGCGAAAAAACCTAAGTATTTATGCATTACGGAGTTTCCACTTATACAGTACTACAAAAAGTCAAATGAAGCTAGCCAACCAAGTCTCATAGTTATCACACAGCTGTAGTCATTAATAAAGCCGGGTCTGTATACGACTGGATCCAGGGGAACGTCCGAAGCTCGGATAACCTCTGCTATGCTCCCAATAGGTGTTTCGCCTGTAGTAGTTATCACACAGCTGTAGTCATTAATAAAGCCGGGTCTGTATACGACTGGATCCAGGGGAACGTCCGAAGCTCGGATAACCTCTGCTATGCTCCCAATAGGTGTTTCGCCTGTAGTAGTTATCACACAGCTGTAGTCATTAATAAAGCCGGGTCTGTATACGACTGGATCCAGGGGAACGTCCGAAGCTCGGATAACCTCTGCTATGCTCCCAATAGGTGTTTCGCCTGTAGTAGTTATCACACAGCTGTAGTCATTAATAAAGCCGGGTCTGTATACGACTGGATCCAGGGGAACGTCCGAAGCTCGGATAACCTCTGCTATGCTCCCAATAGGTGTTTCGCCTGTAGTAGTTATCACACAGCTGTAGTCATTAATAAAGCCGGGTCTGTATACGACTGGATCCAGGGGAACGTCCGAAGCTCGGATAAGCTCTGCTATGCTCCCAATAGGTGTATCGCCTGTAGTAGTTATCCTCATCCTCCCGTGTATCTGAATATTGCTTCTCCTTTTTTGCCGCGGCACTGAAACAAAATTGGTTTAGAAATAGATAATCGATTTATAAGTGTTCTATTGATATATCGACCCTTTTGGTGACGTTTATTTTGAGCAAGACAATTAATGTTCTTAAAATAACCGAAACTCATTTTTGTTTCGATTTTTCTATTTTTCGATTACTAAAAAAAATGTACTTAGGATATCAATATTAAAATGGTCTATGATAAACAGACTCCACCAAGCAAGTATCCCATGTTTCACGTTTTGTTCTTTGATTTCATTCATGTATGTTGTACATATACGTACGATTTCTTGTAAGTTAGGACGAATTTGGTCAGCACCAACACCACAGCGATACCTCCTATTCCACCGATGACCGCGCTGACTATTAATCCAGTGTTCCAATTACCTTCAAAGGACATGCATATAAAATAAACACATCTAATTGTTTTCCAGAGCACGTGTATCACTTCAATGTAGAATATATTTACGTTTCACTCTTTATTGTGTACGTACTTTACGTTATGCCTTATGATCATAAACTCTAACCAATGAACGGATGGAGGTTAAATCAGATCGAAAGTACTGATTAAAATCGTAACATTACTTATTTCAAAAAATTGTAGCTGGTCTTTATACAATACAGCTATCATAGAGTTAAATGTCTATCACATATCAAAACAGAAGCTGTCTGAAAATAATGTAGCAATCGTTTATTTATTTGGGGTTTAACGTCCTCACCAGGGTCATTTGAGGACGTATGCCTAAGTATAAAGCAGGTAGATAGGAAAGATAGGAATAGCAAGCCATTTTGTTATGAGGTGTTTACTTCAATTCAATTACTAATTTCAGACAACTGCAGTGGGCATTTGGAGAGCTACCAACATCTGAGGTAACTTCAAAAAATTGTTTCGAACAGAAACATCCACAGCCCCAATGCATTGATTGCATTCACATTTGTGAAGTTAAATTAAAAAACAATTACCACATCGATAACACACAAGGACAAAATCAAAGCTTACATTCGATGCAAATTGTACTAGAAAAAAATCCAAACTTGAAATCAATGTATACAAAGTCTACCATATTTTCAAAACCCAAGGACAGAGTCAAAGCTCAAAGTAAAAGCAAGATGTACAATACTGTGAAGGTGCAACGATACAATCCAACCTCAAAATCAATACAAAATGTAAGACATTGTCAACATACAAGGACAGAGGAGTCCAAACTCAAATTAAATGCAAAATTCATAATATTGTCAACACAACAGGACAAAATCAAAACTTAAAAGTTGATAAGGTATTAGGCTCATTGTGTACACATACAAACAAAATCCACACTCAAAATCCGTACGAAATGCAACAAAATAAACTGAGGAAAAACCTTTTGAGAAAAACATAATAAATGCCAATTTAAAAAAATGGATAAGAAACAGGCGTTTGTCATGGCCACTCCCTTAAAATCAATGAAAATAATGCCGTTCATCTTGGGTCTATGTCATTGTAAGTAAATGTTTATTCATGATGTTCGACAAAGCAACAGAGTCGCTATTTATTTCCATGTAGTAAACTAACAACATGAATATTGCTTATGAACCCGTTACTCTCTACGTTACTGTGAACTGACAAATAGGAAATGGGCAATGGCCGAGTCAATGTTTACAAACGTTATACCGGTCTGCAGATTCTTTTCTTTTCTGGTGAGTGGAAATAGCTTATATCAATTGTGATAAGTAGAACAAACCACATATTTATGTGTTGCTGTCTATAGTGGTAAGGCTTGTGAATTTCCACGCAGACGGCTTGAACTGGTTGATTGTAGGTGCGGGCGTGAGTATTTCATCTTTTGCTCACCATGTAGGTTTTGGTTCTGAATCTTTTATATTGAAATTACGTCTGAAGAGATCCGAATAAAAAGAGGTTATGACTGCTACAGACGACGCTTGCCTAAGAGATGACTTAAACGAATTGAGAAAACTAAAAATAATAAAATACCGTGTTGCAGGTGTGGGACGTCCTCCAATATGGTCGTTGGTATTGTAGGTAAATCAGTAGTTGTAGACTGACACGAACTCTATATTTATAATAGAAAAATAAATAAATAAATAAATATCTTAAACTTCCTATTTGTTTTTTTATTATATTTCAAATATTCATAAACGTCCTAATTTGAATCATGCAATTTCCAAAACAAAGCACATACTGTACCATAGGTATCAATAGTATATACGTTAAAATTAGTATAACTTTTTTTTTGTAATTAGGCTGTTTCTAATGTTGATCAAATGTTCACGTCTCTGTATCTTTACATACCTTTACAATACACGAGATTGACGTCGTGTTACAGGTATAACATGTTGAGTCGTAAACGATCACCACCAGGTTATCACTGAACGCAACGCCGTCATTCGAAACGCCAAGGAAAAATCCATTTGCTAGAACAGCACTGGCATGCGCAGATCGCCTCTTCCGTCGAGACTGTGGTAGAGAACAGGAACATCCTATTCCGCCGGACATCGGTACGGCCGGAAATGTCTCGTTCTTTGACGTCAGATGATGTGTGGTTGAGTCTATCTGAAATAGTGAAGATATTCAGATCAGTATATTTTTCTAAACATTTTCTTTATGTTGGTATGTATGTATTGTGAAAAGGTGTTTAATATATGTGACGTTTCGATGACTAGTACGGTATGTTCTCTGTCAGCTTCATAAATAAAATGACCAGTGAAGCGTATGTACTCACAGGTTTAAAATATGTACGAGTTGTCCACAAATCGATGACGATTCGGCTACGCTGTAATTATACAACTCGTATATATTTTACACCTTTATTTTGACAGTGACAGAATACAAACCGTACTAGTCATCGAAACGTTACATATTAACACCGTTTTGGTTATGATACATACATCTCTGACAATTCAGATCAGTAATTGTAAAATGGACAGAAGTCAGTTTTCAGCATTAACACAACGTTTGAAGGATGACATTCTCTTTTTTGTTTGTCTACATGTACATAAGAAATGTATCCTTCGAAAAAGCGCAAAACATGCTCTTTTGCATTACAGTCTCGTAATGTGTCAATCTGAATAGTTAATCTAAAACAACAAACAAATAAAAAATAAAAATGTTCGGGCAAACAAATTAAATGTTATCTTTCCGGAGAAAAGGGAAAATATTTTGGTGAATTGACACACTTTACAACATAAACTCACTGTGAAATGAACGGCCCTACAGGTGACATTTTCACGTGCAAAGTTTGACCCTGAGACGTAGAAGGTGTTACAAGTGTACACATCACGCTGACACAGTCCTGGGTTTGTCTTTGACGAAACGATAGGAGGTAATGATCGCTTGATGGAACAGTCACTACCCTCAAAGTCGCCAGTACATTCACATCTTCCTGTTAGAGCAAATCAACTTTTAAAACAAAAAATGCATTGCTTTTCTAACTAATCGAACACAGAAAAGCTTGGATTTAAATAAAAATATTTTGTATCAATAAGTACATTAATACATAATTGAAGTTGTTTAAGTCTGACAGAATGGAATAAGTTATACAAATCATGCATGTACAGTTGTGTGACCGCACAACGTACCAAAAATAGCGTGCGCACACCGTGCATACATCGTTCACACACCGTCCGCACATCGTCCACACATGGTGCGCACAACTGTGCGATTTAACAATCGTTCGCCCCGTTGTGCGCTTCTCTCCGCACAACTGTGCGATTGGGTAAAATTTGTAGATCAATATTACGGAATGAAAAAAATACGGAAAGCTCGTATGCAATAATGAAAACTGTATGTATTATTGTAATATCTCATCACAGTAATGAAGATTATGTACAGTTGTACAATGCGTGTAACACAGCATTACAGTGACCGTTAGACTGTCAAGAATGGGTTTCGCGCCAAGGTAACAGAATATGTAATTAACAATTTGATGAGTTACCGGGGTTTGACCTGGCCTGTACCTGACACATAGAGCTGATATGCGATACCGTATGACCGTAATGAAAACACAGCTGGACGTTTAGTATTTGTTATTTGCATTCGGTTTGCCTATAGCTCCCCTTCACCTGTGTTTTCACACCCCTGGCCTTACCCGACGAAATACGTAAGCGCCCCGGGCGGGGGAAAACTACCGTCCAGGTACATGTAGACGGCTAGTGGCTATGTTTACCTGTATACGGGACTGTGTTGTGATTTCACAGGTGTCGATTAAGGTCGTTTAAAAAATACCAAAAACACAATTTCTAAATTTAAGAAAGTATAGATATAATGATAAGTTTATAGGTGTAGGTATAATATAGAAACATACGTAAAAATCAAGGTTTATATGTTTAAACACGAAACCGTTTATATCGTTAAGGCATTCCTCAATTTACACCAACCACGATTGTTATCGCACAACATTCGTCCATCGTGCACACAAATGTGCGCAAGATTTGATTGCCCAGATTTTTATCGTTCGCACATCGTGCACACATCGTTCACACACCGTGCACACATCGTGCGCACACCGCACATCGTGTAACGTTGTGCGATCCCACAACTGTATATTTGCAATAAATGTATCCAAACAATATCATGTGAGAAATAACGGTTTTTTACAGGTAAGTGTTATTTTTGCTTCTGAAAAAAACAAAAAGACTGACGATTTGTACAGATTCCATTTCCAGAGCAGTTATTCCTACAATCGAGGTCCAACATTTCGTCTAGCAATGTTTTTCCTGGTGTACCAGCAGGAGATGGAGTCTTGGTAAGGTTTTCTAGTTTAACTGCTGTCAACCGACAATTTTCGGCCAACGTATCAGCCGTTGACTGCATAAATCTGCTGTCTCCTATGAGCTGGAACATTAAAACCATTCATAACCATATGACCTTCATTCCTTACCATCGATGCACGTTTGTTTACACGTAAAGACATTTAAACACATATACACACAAACCTATATAGTTAAATTTTGCGAAAATGATATTGTCTGCTGCCTAGATGTTACATTATTTTACAGTTATAATATCGTTAATTGTAGTAGTGAAACATCGTTCTTTGTTTTCTTACAGTAATTGAGTTTTCATACATCATTATACGAAAGCAAAGTAAATCATCATTAACAAATACCTTGATGTCTTTAACGCAGGACTTGATCCCCTTCGCTGTCTCATTTGCCATGTTCTCTAGTACTTCTTCACATTTCTGCAAAAACTTCTGATCCTGTAGAAATTGTGTGCAAGCTACTTTCGCTGTTGATTCATCCCATCCATTCCTCCAAGACAAAGGCTGATAAAAATATATATATTGGGAAAACTTTATATATATATAAGAACCTTTTCTTTCCAAAACAATCCAAGATCTTGCAATCAATGAGTTCCATTGAAACACATTTTGCGACACGCACCAACCTTTTTAACGAGCAATGTAACCTTAGGCACAACACTTTGCACAAACTGCAACCACTTAAAATGTAAGATATCTGGTCATGAGGTAATGTCTGTACCATATATTTTAAACGTGATAACTTCATCGACGAAGTTTGAAGCTTTAAAACTAACTACTAACAGAGACATTTGCATAACTCGGTCTCTGACACCTTGTTGCGACATTGACCTTCGTGCTACGTACCTCTGATAAGTACGAGGCTGATTGTCTGGTCATGATGTATTTATGACGCTTCACAGAAAATGTATCAGCTATTCAAAGACTCTTTACGTGGTTCGTGACAGGCCTTTATGTATAGTAAAGTTTTATTTAACAAGAAAAATCCAGATGTTTAGAATTTATAGACCGAATACGAATGAACAGACAGGCGGACAATGTTAACGTCAGTATATACATTTTATATGATATCGTGCAGAATATACGAAATCTTTCACGCATTTATCACTGCATTTTAGGAAGGCAGACTATATGAAAATATGTTTAGCTGAGGCATGACTCAGCAGACTGGAACAACGTAATATAAATTAAATTTACAAGCTTGAAGCACGGCCTATAATTCTATCAAAATGGTATGGAAGAGGATATAAGAATGGAATTGAATATATTACCGTCGGATCCGAGTCAGCGTCACTATCGAGAACTACAGGAAATTTGGGCACTGCTTCGCCTCCCCCTGATGCTCGTTTGTGTCGTAGTTGAGGCTCAGATGCTGACCGTTTCCGTCGCGAAGGTTCGGCGCAGGTTTTAAAAAAGCGGGCAGATCCGGAACCCGAGCACAGGGTTGTCGCAGTGTTGATGTTACACTCTGCAGAAGTGACACCATGTCTCTCATTGCCTCTACACTTACAATATCTGGGTAATGTTGTACTCTGATCTGGTAACGTGATGTCACCAAACAGTGACACGTCACCGGTTGCTTCTGTTATTCTGAAACAAAGAGATAATCCAACTTGTAACTCAAGTGATAATTTAACTTTTACTATGTTAAGGTATATTTTTTCCTTTTATCTTGTATTGTGCCACTACAACTTTTCGGCGCCAGTTGATGAAATTCGATGAACAGAAACGCACATTTCCGATCATTTACATTGATTTTACTTGTGTTTGAATTTCAAAAAGAAGATACTTTGTACAGCCATTAGAGAATGTGAATATATTTTAGTCATACGTATAAAAAAGACATTGAGTGTCAAATCGATTTCACAATTGTGACAAAGAATACTGTATTCTGACATAAAGAATTCATATTCTTTGTATAACTTTAATATCTATTTATAGACGGACGATAGTCTTACTTATGTGCACCACAGCCGTTAAAATCGTTGTAGTCGTATGCTAATTGTTTCTGCGGAGCGAATTATTAAATCGATCCGGTCTAGATAAACACGACTTCTAATCATTATTGTATACCGGGAAATTATACCCCAGTCAAACTTTCACCTTTCGCAAGAAATATCAATATTTGCCCAGTTTTTATTTCGCCTTCACATTTAATTACTATATACTTATGTTGTTTGTGGGGTTTCGCTGTAACGATAAGTACGCCCCCATCACGAAGGGCGCAACAAAGCGAAAATGAAACTGCAGCAAAAAAGTTTTGGGTTACTGCATTCATACTGTTAACTCACTTCCAATCCAGAGCAAATGTCTTCTCGTCACCTGTTGTTCCACCATCTTTAGTCCTGAAATCGTTATTCATGTTCCCGTCCAGGTACCCACATAGTCCCGAGGACATTTGCCAATCAGCGAGAGAGGGCTTGATGACTATTCCACCAATCAACGTGATATTGTTTTCAGTCACGTGATGGAAGGATATCTGTGTTCCTGTCGGGAGTTTTACCTTAAATACAATAGGTAAAATACTTAGACAATTAACAAGATATGTTATATATGTAATTATATTCACATAACCGATGGATTGGGATAAAATAAAACTGACATATAGCATATAAATATTATAGCTTCTTTTTCCGCTAGAAATAATATCGACCGTCTTGAGTATTTTAGAAATTGATGTTATATGAACTTAAATATTTTGTTTAAAAAAAATCAATCTTACATTTCACCAAAAGATGACAAGAAAAAGTAAGCGTGCTAAGTGTTCATATGATAAATATATAACGTTACTTAATGACAGCTTCAACACATATGATTTGTCAACACATTAGTAGTTATATATTATTTCACAACATCTGTTCGCACTGTACAGTACGTTACATCTGTCCATCATTATTGCTATACAAACAATGTATAACTCTAACGTGGTGTCGTGACGTCATTACAGATGATTAAAAGCATTACCTGTTTTATTTATTGAAACGGTGCTAATCATGTTTCATCAAAAAATACAATTGCGCAATCTTTGTTAGAAATAAGGTGAAACACTTACGTATGTTTTACACTGTATCAAATATCCAGTGTCAGTCCTACCTTTGCTATTTGCTTTGTCTGAAATCATTTAAAAGACATAAACTAAATACCGTATATGTATTCCCGTCATTGTCTATCTTCATGGGTGCATCGTCACAAAACGTCCCCTCTATGTATTGGTTTGAACTGACTCCGTCGCTAACAGACCATCCGATTATGGCATCACAAAAATTCGCAACAAAGAGTGCGTTGTTGTTCCTTATAGCTACTCCACAGTTACATGTGGCTCCAGGTACACCATTCACACAGGTCTGGTACATAGCATGTACCTGAATATACAAAAACACAATGGGAGTTTAGTCATAGCAACATAGCTGATGCAATATACATATATTTATTTAAATTGTATAAAGGTAATAATAGTTATTTTTACTATATCTCCGCCTTTTTCCTGATTACTCTCACCAGCGAGTCCTCTATCAGACGTGTGTTATTCCTAAAACTATCACATCCTTGCATACTAATTCCCTCGTCCGTATCCAGGGATACCATCTACCTTCCTACACTCAGGTAAAATTGGGCAGAACTTTCTGTATCCCTAATACGCACATTTTAACTGCATAAAGGTCGATTATACATGTCAAGTGCATCATCACGTGTACTTATACAACAATTCGTGGTTGTCACGATATACATGCTTTCTATGAAAGTATATTGAATTTGACTTATCACTCTGATATATTTCTCATTATTCCTTTCAAATGCAGCGCTTGTGCTATGAATAAAACCCAAGTGTAAAGGATGGCAATTAACGGTAAGCCAACAATTGATATACAAGGACTAATCCACTGACCCAATCGATTTAAGGCACTCTGTACTAATATGTTTTACACCAGATTTATATTAAAACGAATCGGTTGAGTCATCAATGAATTGAATAAATACAAAAACATAAGGATCGAGAAATGTACTTTTGTTAAATGAGTATGTTTTGTTTTTTATTAGGGTTAGTCTGAATTTTGAAATTATCGTTGTTTAAATTGCTTTCAAAGGAACCTAATATATACTGTGTCTAAACAGCAACTGGTAAGTGAGTGTCATTCAAGTTGATCCTTGCTGTCTCTTTTAGATTTAGAACATACATATTTGTATCTTATTTCCAACAAACTGGGGTGAAACGCAACTCTTGTATGATACCAAATAATGTTTTTTATGATTTTTCTCTCGTCCCATCCACTATAAAAAATATTTAAGTTTTATTTAAACTGGCTTAGAAGTATGCGGTTATATTTATGCATCCACCATAAGCAAAAGGTAACGTAACCAATGCGATAAACAGAATAACCAGAAAATAACTTAGGGATAAGCTTGTAATTTAATGCTTAATTTAGATTCCAAATTCATCGCAAAATACAATTGATAGAAAAAGAATAAACGAAAATATTTCACCCAATAATCTTTGTTGTGGAATACCACAAATTCGCCTAGACGCTGATTTTCCCAGGATCTGAAAGAAAAATTGAACTTAACCTAATAAAATCTTCATTGTATGCCAACAGAATATGATATGTCATAATTTCATNCCCACACACACACACACATACAGCATCTTTTAAACGTTTCCATTACAACAAAATAAAAACAAATATACACCTTTACCACAGGACAATAACAAAAGTCTTGTTGTGAAAGTGTCTTTACTATAACTTTCAGATTCCGTAAAGAAGAACCAAGAGTCATTCTGAAAACTCGTCACCTGATACTTTGATACACGTACAAAACATATCACAATGTTAAAACACATTGACAAAATATACCACAGCGTCAACACACAACGACACAATAAACCACATCCTTAACACACAACGACAAAATATATCTCAACGTCAATCGCCGATGACAAAATATACCACAGCGTCAACACACAACGGAAAAATATACCACATCTTTAACACATAACGATGAATTATAACACGATTCGTTTGCAACGCATAGTTTCAATGGATACGGACCATGTTCTAATCTACGATAGAATCATGATCAATCGTGTTAAGCTCCTCCCATCGAATTTAAGCCACGCCAAGTTTCTAATCAAAACAACAAAGCGTCAAGCTCGCTTCTGAGCAAAATCCTGTTGATAAATCTAGCTGGCAACAGAACAAAGGACCGATGAAATGTATTTGTTGAATAAATTAAAAAATAAAGATTACACATTCCTTGTTCTTACTTCCATTTATTTCTGAAACGTTCGTTTCGATCCGTGTGAAGGCATCCAGTTAGATCCGAAATCAAATGAAACATTTCGCATTTTCGTATGAATTTTGCACACAACTCTTCACAATCTAAACAATCCTAATCACCGATTTTGTCGATACGCACAGATTGGCATGCATACTGACATGTAAATGTAAGAATTTGGTCAATATTAATCCAAACGTGTCGTAGAAACTGGTAATAGGACGTTCATGAACAATCCAAATATTCCGCCTTGTCAACATACAGATGGAGCGTTCGTCTGTATGGTCCGGGCCAAATGACCGACTTTTGAAAGCTTCTTTCTGATTGGTCAGTGCGCTGTTGAATGACACGTCGCCAACACAGGTCACCAAAGTACTTTACTACGTACTTGTAACAAGGAAATACAATGTTTCTAAACATATTAGTGTAGTATATGTGTCAGGGTGTGTTGGAATGGGGATAGTACGTTGTTTTTCTTGTCTATACTGGCGATTAGAACATGATCGAAGGGACCTATCGGTCTCGAATTCAAACCAAATTTCATGTTCTAATAGCCAGTATAGCCACTCACAACAACGTACTATCCCCTAAATATACCACAACGTCAATACACATCAAGATATATATACCACAGCGTCAACACTCCATGGCGAAACGTACTACAATGTCAAAATAGAACGACGAGATATTCCCTAGCGTCACCACACAATGGCTAACTATACCTCAATGTCAAAACACCATGCAAACCATACCACAACGGCATCACACAACGACAAAATAAACCACAGTGTCCAACCACAACGACACGATATACCAAAGCGTCAACACAAAATGACAACATATACTACAGCGTCAACACAAAATGACAGCATATACTACAGCGTCAACACAAAATGACAAAATATACCACAGTGTATTCACACAAAACAACTGATTAACTGGTTTCTTTAAAGCGAACCCAATCACCTGAGTACGTAATGATTAAATAGGGAAATCAATCGCCTGAGTACGTTATGATTACATAGGGAAATCACATACCTGCCATCAAACGTTCTCATGTGAGGATCATTATAGCTTTCACAAATACTGGATATAACCCGAATGTCTGCGTCAACAACGGTCACCTGTAAACCAGCAAGCAAGTATTATTGGCATGATATTTTATTATAAAATAATGATATGAAACATAATACAATTTACGAATGAATGATCGAAGGGACATATTAACGTCTTATTTGTACGGGAATTATACGAGCTAATTATACGCAGCACGAAAAGAAATAGAACAATGGATGATTTTAAAACAGGAACAAAGAATCTTTAAAGCACGCGTGTGAATGTATTGGGAGCTATTTCGCCTAGGTAAAATATCCTATGATATTAGCAAAATAAGATAGATTCATTAATAAGTGGTTTGTGTTTCTAACGTCTTTTATGCATGGCATATTAAATCAACAAAAAGGTAGTATTGCTCTATTAAAGCATCAGTAATTAGATAATGTTGACTTTATTCCCTCTATTTCAGCAAGTACCTAGTTCCACGTAAGGTAGTATATAGTTTCTCGTAAGCCAACATACAGTTTTACGTAAGCCAGTACATTATACCTAGTTTCACAAAATCTTGTACATTGTACCCAGTTGCACGTGAGTTAATTCTTTATACCAAATTTAACCTAGTACATTGTATAATGAGAAGTTCTTTTTTCACAACCAATAAAAATTGCATTGATTGTGTAAAAAGAACTTCTTCTAATCCATACTTACCAACCTGAAAAAAATGTCTAGTACATTGTACCTAGCTTCATGTGAGCTAGCATAGTATACCTAGTTTCACTTGAACAGTCAAGTGAAACGTAACATTATTAAGAACATTGTGTATAAACATGGTAAGGAATGTATTTGAGAATGCAAATTAAGATATAAGAGAGAAAAGCTAAAGCATGCATAATTTGTCCAGAGTGCATACTTACAGAAATATTTTGCGATGAAGCACTATCCCAGGCGTTATGGTGTGTGACGACCGTATCTGCTCTCAGAAGCACAGTTACCGTTCTATTCTCCACATTAACCTGGTTGTCCGAGGCTCCGTAAACACGAACAACCTGTGCATTTTCCCAGTTTGTATGGTTAAATTCTAAACCACAGCCATTGTCTCCAAAAGAGATTGGCTCGTTTGTGAGACCACCCGCAGAACAACTGACATCGGTACTGTCTACACTTGTTTGGATCCTTAATGTCAGTTTACACTGGTTTTCTATAATGTCGTTTTTTCTACAAAGTAAAAGAATAGTTAGACATAGTTATTTTCCATAAAGAACTAAATATTTCCTTTCAGAAAACTATTATTTCGTTTAGAAACGTTGATTGGTATATTACACTGCCTTATGTTTATGGTCGTTTAAAGCATGAGTAATGTTTATGGTGTTTCAAAACATGAATAATGTTTATGGTGTTTCAAAACATAAATAATAATGTTGATGGTGTTTTAAAACATGAGTAATGAAAAGGAAAAACAATTGTTTAGATGTGTTTGTAAGGAGTATATCTCGAGTAAGTTATGCATTTTTGTTTTGAAATTGTGTCCAAAATGAAACTCTCTAATGTTAGCAATTCATTTTGCATACACATATACATGTCTCCGACTTTAACGTTAGCGAAACCATTCGGGGGTTTTGACAATAACGAGTTAATGTTTAAATTAAACCTTTTTTGTCTGCTTCCACTTTGCACATTCATAGTGTTTACCTTCTGTACATACAATGGAACAATACGCTATGTTTAACACATTAACACATTAACGAGGTAACCAAATAAAATGTTCTTACTGTATTATGATTTTTTATATCCTTGATGTAATTACAGATCAAATAAATCCTCTACAATGTTTCTTTAATCCATTTTATTTGTTTCTGACAGTGTTTTTGTCTTGTATATACATTGTACGTACACGCCTACTGCCGCATTTGCTGGGTAGTAACAGCCTAAAGGAACGGTTAGTCTAACTTGGATATCAAATGAGTCATCTTCAGTCACCACGTATTCAAGCATATCTGTCTGTAATGAAAAAATAATGGACACACAATATTATTTCATACTTATCATGGCAATTAGTGCTCTATCATTGGCCATAATAAGTCAGAAGAACATTCGTTGGAACTATTTCTTGTCAGGATAATACCTTAGACAGAAGCAACAAATGCATAAGGAATATTCATAATGAGAGGCAACTATAGCCATTTAGATCAATCGTGTAGTGATTTGCGATCCAATATGTAAAAAGAATATCACATAATAGAGTTGATTTGTTTCGCAAAATAACAAAAGACAAATCTATAAAATACATTACAAAACGTACACGGACCAGATTTATGAAATCCAGATTAAAATATTATCAGGGCCAGATGTATAAAGCACATTAGAAACACTAAAAAGGCAAGATCTTTAAAAGACGCAATATGAACATTATCAGGGCTAGATTTATAAAGATATTTTACTATCGTCACCTGCTATCACTAAGTTTAATCATCATAAGGGCCATTTCTGTAAAAGACGCATTGTATATAAAATTTGCCAGGACCTGATATTTTCCCTATTACATTAATATGAAAAATAAAATGTATTACCTTAATTCCGGCATAAAACAACTCGCTAAAGGTTACAGACCCTGGTGGGTCATTGACATCGGAACGGAGTGCGATTCCACATTTTACCTGAAATAACAGAGGAAGTGGCTGAGACGATAGTATGTCGCTGATTCTACTGCTACTATAGAATTAAAGTGGGCATGATAGACAGCTTGGTTCAGTTTGATTCTCAGTACGAATGTGCATTTGCTTAGAAGAATTTGTTTTTTCACCACCGAAAGATTCGGGAATGCAGCTTAGGTGTCCAAAAGGCCATCGACGTATATCTATAGTGATCGCAAAAGTAGAATACCGTCGCTAAATATTGACAACAGTAGCACAATAAAATGCAGTCTCTGCAGAGAATACTTTCTAAAGTGCGGGCTCATGAAAACATTAATACAGCTTTTATGGACGTGACTGAGTAGTGGTAGCATTCTCATTATATTCTTAGTGTTTCCATTCTCTAAGATCTTTTTGTCAGTTATAAAGAATTAGTTATAACAATAAAGCTATTAGGATCTACATTATACCTGAAAACCTAATGTTTGCGAGCCTCGCCAGTTTTCCTCCCGTAGATGTCCTGTTGTTGCTATTTCTGCGTGTGTCAACTTAGTACTAGAACTTCCCAATACCTCAGTATCGTTTATGTACCACGTGACGTCAAAAAGAAAGTTTTCCGGATCCACACTACCATCACTAAATGTTACACTACACTCAAATTTTATTTCAAAAATTTTGAAATCGATGGAGGTGTTTGTATTGGGCGGAGTCCCTGTTCTCTCCTCCAGTCTAGTGGCAACAATAGCTATGACCATTAAATCTACAACAACACAATGGGATATGTGTAGTGATTATAATAACGACGAGATTGTTCAGCTGACGCTGTAGATAATAAGAGATAATTGTTAGTAAAAACATCCATAAATGTACAAATAAAATCTGCAACGTGCAATGAAAGGCCATGGTATCTTTTAATTACACACCTGCATTTTTTATAGATGATTAAATATAAAAAAGCAAAACGTTAATATTTAATTCATTTTTTATTTATACAAGTTGTAGAAAAAATGATATCAAATATTAGAATAACTAAACGTTCGTAAGTAAAAAGTTCCGACAACGGAATTAAAATCATCAGTACGCTTACGTTGTAAATTATCAATGCACTAATATCAAATATGTGGCGAAAAGGGGTACTTTTGTAACGTTCAAACCAACATTTGCTATATTAGATATTGAAAGAAGGGTTTATTACATACCTCCGCCAGTAGGAGATGTTGTTGGCTCAACGGTTGTGGTAGTGGTAGACTCAGTTGTGGTTGTAGTTGGCTCAGCTGTAGTTGTAGTCGGCAAAGTTGTGGTGGTTGTAGTCGGCTCAGTTGTGGTGGTTGTAGTCGGCTCAGTTGTGGTGGTTGTTGTCGGCTCAGTTGTGGTTGTAGTTGGCTCAGTTGGGGTTGTTGGGGGCTCAGTTATGGTTGTAGTTGGCTCAGTTGTGGTTGTAGTAAGCTCAGTTGGGGTTGTAGTCGGCTCAGTTGGGGTTGTAGTCGGCTCAGTTGTGGTGGTTGTAGTCGGCTCAGTTGTGGTTGTAGTCGGCTCAGTTGTGGTTGTGGTTGGTTCAGTTGTTGTTGTAGTAGGCACAGTTGTGGTTGTAGTTGGCTCAGTTATGGTTGTGGTTGGTTCAGTTGTAGTTGTAGTAGGCACAGTTGTGGTGGTTGTAGTCGGCTCAGTTGTGGTTGTGGTTGGCTCAGTTGTGGTTGTAGTCGGCTCAGTTGTGGTGGTAGTCGGCGCAGTTGTGGTTGTAGTTGGCTCAGTTGTGGTTGTGGTTGGTTCAGTTGTGGTTGTAGTAGGCCCAGTTGTGGTTGTAGTTGGCTCAGTTGTGGTTGTGGGTGGTTCAGTTGTGGTTGTAGTAGGCACAGTTGTGGTTGTAGTAGGCTCAGTTGTGGTTGTAGTAGGCTCAGTTGTGGTTGTAGTTGGCTCAGTTATGGTTGTGGTTGGTTCAGTTGTAGTTGTAGTAGGCACAGTTGTGGTTGTAGTTGGCTCAGTTGTGGTTGTGGTTGGTTCAGTTGTGGTTGTAGTCGGCACAGTTGTGGTTGTAGTTGGCTCAGTTATGGTTGTAGTTGGCTCAGTTGTGGTTGTAGTAGGCTCAGTTGTGGTTGTGGTTGGGTCAGTTGTGGGTGTAGTAGGCACAGTTGTGGTTTTAGTAGGCTCAGTTGTGGGTGTGGTTGGGTCAGTTGTGGTTGTGGTAGGCGCAGTTGTGGTTGTGGTAGGCTCAGTTGTGGTTGTAGTCGCCTCAGTTGTGGTTGTAGTAAGCTCAGTTGTGGTTGTGGTCGGCTCAGTTGTGGTTGTTGTAGGCTCAGTTGTGGTTGGAGTGGGCTCAGTTGTGGGTGTGGTCTGCTCAGTTGTGGTTGTAGTCGTCTCAGTTGTGGTTGTAGTAGGCTCAGTTGTGGTTGTGGTTGGCTCAGTTGTGGTTAAAGTAGGCTCAGTTGTGGTTGTGGTTGGTTCAGTTGTGGTTGTAGTAGGCACAGTTGTGGTTGTAGTAGGCTCAGTTGTGGTTGAAGTCGGCTCAGTTGTGGTTGTAGTCGACTCAGTTGTGGTTGTAGTAGGCACAGTTGTGGTTGTGGTTGGTTCAGTTGTGGTGGTTGTAGTCGGCTCAGTTGTGGTTGTAGTAGGCTCAGTTGTGGTTGTAGTAGGCTCAGTTGTGGTTGTTGTTGGCTCAGTTGTGGTTGTAGTTGGCTCAGTTGTGGTTTTAGTAGGCTCAGTTGTGGTTGTGGTTGGATCAGTTGTGGTTGTGGTAGACTCAGTAGTGGTATCCGTTGACGTTGTAGCATTTGTTGAAGGCAAAGTAGTAGTTGTTGTTGGTAAGGGCGTCGTAGTAATACAAGAAGTCTGAAAACGATAATAAATTGAACTTAAAAGTATCATATAACTATTTAAGGAGCATGCGTTCATTCAACAAAAATAATACCTTTATTTACAGAAATTAATATATTGGTATATTTATTTATTTTGATATGACTAGTAAACACTTCAGGTGTAAGACGATCTTTCAATGATGTTAATACAAAGCACATGTTCCCCAACGTAGAAGTTACCGATGGAATTATTAAAAATTTAATAACGTTATCTTTAACTGTTTCTTATCTGAGAGATATAAATTAGGAAGTGAAAAAACTGTGTCCATGCTGAGGATGTTCATGCTCAAATAGGCAGTGTTTCCTGTAAATATTACTAACTTCAGATCGAAGGACAGCTGAAATACCATTTTTTTCCAGCTATAATAAGTAAATATTCTATTTCTGACGGTTGGGTAAAATGTATCACTAAAGATTGCAACTTGCCAATGTATTAATAATTGGTTCATTCGTGGTGTAATCAAACTGAAATGAAATACAAAATTAGAAAAACAAATTCATCTTAGATGCTATCTTTTCTCGAATTGTTTTTTCTGCCAAAAAATGTTCTTTGCCGTGACCCAAAAGTTTATTTTTATTTTTTAAATATGAGTTTTGTCACCGTCAAACATATAAGAAAACAATTCCATACAAAAGACCCAAAGCTAAATTAAATACTACTCACGAATTCGACGCACGAGATAGTTGTTGTATTACAATTCTGACACCAGGAGTCGAAAATAATGACGACAATATCAGCACTGAACGCGACTCCATCATTAGACACACTCAGAAAAAATCCCTCTGCCACTACAGGTTCCTCGTCTGTGGAACGTTTTATCCTGTACTGGTAGTCATCCTGGTCTGTAGAACGCTTTCTCCTCCTCAATGCGTCGCTTAGTGTACAGGTACAGCCGAACCCGCCCCCTATGGACTTGGCTGGGAAAGTATCATTGGCTGAAGTCAAATTGTAACCGCTGCCTGTGATCTACACTCAAAAATACGAAACAAAACAGTAAAAGCTAATGACGACTTTATTATCATCACATAGTAGAGGAAAGTTATTCCTTATTGTAAATATTGACCCTGCCACAGATATATAAATAAGTAAATTATACCCAGTACAGCTACGATGGGTACTCATTATCGTAACTGCTAATCACTAATGTGATGAAGATTGATCTGGAAATACTTGCTTTTTTCGTTTTTATTCTTACACTTGCTATCAAATAGATGTTGAAAGCACGGGTGCATACCTATCAAACAAAGGCTCAACCAGTATGCAAAGATATTCTAATGTAACACTGCACCTCTGAGACATAAACTTCGTCAATATTTGTGAGTTTATTGTGAAACAAAAATATTAGTATATTTATATCTCACCGCAAAATGGGACGCCCTGCACGTCATATTGTCTCGGGCAAAGTTTGATCCTGAGATATGGAAGGTGTCACAAGCATACACATCCCGTTTACACAGTCCTGGGTTTGTCCTTGGCGACACAACGGGAGGCAATGTCCGTTTGTCGGAACAGTCACTCCCATCATAGTCACCAAAACACTGACATTTTCCTGGTATATAGCAAATAGACAATAAGATAATTGAACCACAACAATGTCAACGTCGCAGTGCATGCCGTCGTGACGTAGCCGGAAACGACAAATAGAGGAATATTTAATATCAATGTAATAATTAATATGAAATAAGCGACACCTAAACAGCGGGCACACATACACATGCAATTACTGTTTCTTACATAATTTCACAGTTACATTTTATGTACTGTCAGCAGAGTGAACATCCTGTCCTCGCATAATTCAATGGATGTACTATCATATTTTATTCGTGCAGGGTTAGTGTGGGGGGTAGGGTAATTGGTTTGTGGTGGAAGTTGCGGTATCTGTGCTGTAGCATTCAAGCGAGGTGGCACTATAAATGATACCGTTGGAAGCACGGTCCCGCTACAAAAACAGACACCATTAAATTTCCAGCAAACACGCAGGCATACACACATGGGGAGATATTAGCCAGGTGGTTAGCGCCTGAAAAGGCAGCTCCTGCGAATTCCTTATAAAATGTTATATCTATGTAATGTTAAGCGCTTTAGAGTGGCTTATGTTAGCTAGATCGGTCGCTATATCAAATGTTGTACTTATGGATATTATATAGATATTCAATGCTTTTCATAAACCAATAACAAAAGAGCAAATTAACTTCTGTATTTGGAGAATTTTATTTTTTCACGTTGGATGATTGGATGACCGAATGTGCCCAGCCCTTGTGTAAGTACGGTCCACGTTGGGATCAGCATAATTAACCGAATGGACGAAACATCGTGTATCAAAGCAATACGAAAGTCAATACTAAGCGTTTATGTATACTGCTAAGACCCTCAAAATCACAAATATTTGTTCAAGACCTAAAATATCTTGATTGGCCGGAGCTATCCCGGGGCCGAACTTGCCCGACTCCTTATCCCTAACCCCATATTGAACCCTACCGATCTGGATCAGCCCTGGTTCGTTGTTTTTCAAAGCACATTATAAACACTTACAAATTAAATATTAGCGATATTAAATCACTCATCTAGATGTCATCTGCATAGAGATAATTAACCAAAATCGATCTGCCGTCCATATTAGAAGATTTTGAACCTTTATCTATTTGTTCCTTCATCTTACTTTACTTAGCTGTTGCAATGAAACAAAACTCTAAACAAATAAATTTCATAGATTTTTTTTGTATCTGTAATTACTCCATTCCATTTTTCAATGGACATTCCTTTTTGATTAAAATCAGTCTGTTTAAAAGTGATAATGACATTTCATACTGGGCAATCGTAACGATTTCAAGACAGTCTGTGGAGGATTATAAAACCCATATAGCTTTTTTGTTTCTTTTCTTATATGAACATACATTGTAACAAAAACATATATACACAATTATTAATGTACTGTAAGAGAATTTACTGCATATTTTTCTCCAAAATAATTTGGGAAGCTGAAGAGGCAAATGGCGCAGCAAAATGCGCTTTTTAATAATAAATCATATTGTGTTTAATCAAGTAACGGAAAAATATGTCAGTATTCTGAGATGAAAATGCAGAAAAAATATCGTTGTGTGTAAATATTCAAAAGAAAAACGGCTTTATCATATAATTGTGATAAAATTGCTTCAAAAGAACATTTTTAGCTCATTTGGACCGAAGGCTTATGACGTGGTGCGGCGTCCGCCGTCTGTCGTCCGTCCGTCGTCCGTCCGTCCGGTGTCTGGCGTCAATATTTTACTTAAAACTACTTCTTCTGAATAACCAAAAGGACTAGGGTGATGATATTTGGCCAGTAGCATGCTGAGATGAAAAACCTTAACCCACTTTCAAGGTCACAAGGGTCAAATGTCTAAAAATCTTCAAACAACTTCTTCTCAATAACAAAAAGTCCCAGGGTACTGAAATTTAGCCTGTAGCATGCTGGGATGAAGGGCTACCAAGTCTGTTCAAATGAATGACCTTGACTTACTTTCAAGGTTACAGGTGTCAAATGTCTGTATATCTTCAAACGACTTCTCAATAACAAAAAGGCCAAGGGTTCTGATATTTTGGCCTGTAGCATGCTGGAATGAAGGGCTACCAATTTTTTTCAAATGAATAACCTTGACCCACTTTCAAGGTCACAGGGGTCAATCTGTTAAAATCTTCAAACGACCTCTTCTCAATAACCAAAAGGCCCAGTGGACTGATATTTGGCCTGTAGCATGCTAGGATGAACAGCTCCCGTATTTGTTCAAATGAATGATCTTGATCAACTTTCAAGGTGACAGGGGTCAAATGTCGTAAAATCATCAAACAACTTCTTCTCAATAACCAAAAGGCATCGGGTACTGATATTTGGCCTGTAGCATGCTAGGATGAAGGGTTACCAAATTTGTTCAAATGCATAACCTTGACCCATTTTCAAGGTCACAGGGGTCAAATGTCGTAAAATCTTCAAACGACTTCTTCTCAATAACCAAAAGGCCCACGGTACTGATATTGGGCCTGTAGCATGCTGGGATGAATAATTTTGACCCACTTTCAAGGTCACAGGGGGTCAAATATGTTAAAATCTTCAAACGACTTCTTCTCAATAACCAAAAGGCCCAGAGTATTGATATTGGGCCTGTAGCATGCTGGAATAAAGGGCTACCACCTTTGTTCAAATAAATAAGCTTGACCCAATATCAAGGGCACAGGGGTCAAATATTTTTAAATCTTCTAGCGACTTCTACTCAATAACTAAAAGGCACAGGGTACTGATATTGGGTCTGTAGCATACTGGGATAAAGCGCTACCAAGTTTATTCAAATAAATTACCTTGACCCAATTTAAAGGTCACTTGGTCAAATGTCGTAAAACTTCAAACGACTTCTCAATAACCAAAAGGCCCAGGGTACTGATACTGGGCCTGCAGCATGCTGGGATGAAGGGCTATCGAGTTTTTTTCAAACTAATGACCTTGACCAACTTTCAAGATCACAGGGGTAAAATTACGTAAAATCTTCAAACGGCTTCTTCTCAATAACCAAAAGGCCCAGGGTCTGTTGCATGCTAGGATGAAAGACTACCAAGTTTGTTCAAATGAATGACCTATATTCAAGGTCACAGGAGTCAAATATGTTAAAAACCTGTAAAACAACTTCTTCTTAATAACCAAAATGCATAGGGAGATGATTATATTTGGCCAGTAGCATGCTGGAATAAAGGACTACAAAGTTTGCCCAAATGAAAAAAACTTTTAACAACTTCTTCTGAATAACCAAGAGGTATAAGGTGATGATATTTTATCAGTAACATGCTTGGATGAAGGGCTACCAAGTTTGTTCAAATGAATGACCTTGAGTTCTGTTCAAGGTCACAAGGGTTAAATATATTAAAACCTTTAAAAGAATTTATTTTGAATAACCAAGAGGCCTAGGGTGATGATAATTGGCTAATATCATGCTGAGATGAAGGACTACACAGTCTGTTCCAATGAATGACCTTCATCTTTTTTCAAGGTCACAGGGGTCAAATATGTTTTAACCCTTAAACAACTTTTTCTGAATAACCAAGAGGCATATGATAATGCCGGTAACATGCTGGGATGAAGGACTACCAAGTGTGTTCAAACGAATGATCTTGACATATATTTAAGGTCACAGGGGTCAAATATGTTAAAAACCTTTAAACGACTTTTTCTTAATAAGCAAAAGACCAAGGGTGATGATATTTGGCCATTAACACGCTGGAATGAAGGACTACCAAGTGAATGACCTTCGTCCGTATTCAAGATCACAGTGGTCAATATATGTTTAAATCTTTAAATGATTTGTTCTGTATAACCAAAAGGTCCAGGGTAATGATATTTTGCCAGAAGTATGCTGGGTTGGAAGACTATAAACTCTGTTCAACCTAATGTCCTTGTTCGGTATTCAAGGTTACAGGCGTCATATGTTTAAATCTTTTAATATGTTCTTATGAATAAAACACTGATATTCTGCCTGCAGCTGTATTTTAGTCCACTTTTAAGATTACAAGTCTGAGATTAATACCAGGTGAGCGATGCAGGCCCATTGAGTCTATTGTTTAAAAGTAGCATAAATGCATGAAATACGTACACTAACGTCACATCAAATATATCTTTTATGTGAAACTGCCTAAAATGTAGTTACAAAGCAAAAATGTGCACTAAACTGTAGGGATAAGAATAAACAAAATCAAAATATTCTTAATAATGTGGTATAGCTGCATAAAATTCGGGTTCACTTCAGTGAATGTATTGTCAACACTACCATGTCACAGTTGCGTCACAACATGTTGTGAGCGTCAATTCATCCTTTCACAAACAGCAAAATACATATGACTGGGATATATATACAAACGTATCAGTACCAACTGATGTCATTTTAAAGTTAAGGACAAATATCCAAGCACAAGTACTACATTGAAACAATTTTCAGTTCGAGGAAAATGAAAATATCAAATTAATATGTAGGACATTGAAGGTTTTCATCAGTAACCTCGACTTTTCAAACAAATGAAGAATTGTTTCTGAACATAGAAAATGTGCCGGAGATACGACAAAAATACAAGGTGTTCACTGAACATGTAAAATTAATTGTGTGTGCAAAAAAAGAACATCAATGCAGTCTAGGAGCATTTTCCCGTACTTTCCGTACATGTGTTGCTATAACGGCTCGCATTGCTCGGTCGATCGTTTCGCGAGAATGCCCGCTATTATAAGAATTAGGATATTTTTATTTTACAGGTCAGCTCAGCATTTAGGGTAAAACTAGTTCAAATTTGGTCGGTTGATTTGCAGAGGAGTTATCGCCAAAATACTGTTCAACTAGAACGTTAAATAAAGAGTAACCTGTTGTAGATGATGGGTATGTTGTTTATAGGAATGTTTGTATGTAGTTGCACTTGTACGTTTTTAATTTTCGATTATAATCTTACTGATATATATGGCATGTGGGTTATTCTGACTTTAGTCATAAGAAGATAAACAAACATATATTAATGAATATAAAAGGTATATACATAGCAAACAGAGATCAGTATGTGTTCATATACAAGACTGACCTTGTTGACATATTCCGTTTCCAGAACAGTTATTGCTACAGTCGAGATCCAACATAACGTCCAACACTGTCTGACCTGCTGTACCATCAGCAGCTGTTGTCTGAGTGAGATTTTCTAGCTTAAGTGCTGTCATTCGACAACCTCTGGCCAGATTATCAGCTGTAGACTGCATAAACTCGGTGTTTCCCATTAGCTGGAATAGTTAAAATAACCAATACATATACTGTAAGTAATAAGTAAGCACAGTTCAGTTTATTATATAACACATATCTCATCCATGTATGAATAATTTGTTTTCCTCTTTGACTACATACTGCGGATGTACATATTTTAAGTTCAAAGACTAGAAGCTACGTTTTGCAATGTTTTGATTCCTAAAAGGTTGTTTCTTTTAAACTGTTGTTCTTGTCGAATATTATTGTAAATATGAATTTTATCATTTTAAAAGTTCCAATACATTTAAACTAGAGAGCCGACAAGGAAAGAAATTCCTCGAGCAATTTTATGTTACACAAAATAGTTTTATAAGGAAGGGCCGTGCATCTGAAAAGCATTCCATTGCATTCTAAATAAGAAGCTTTTCGCTATATGTAAGTTTTCATAAAACTCTGTTATAGTAGCATCGACCTTGACATTTGACAAACAATATTATAATTTAATATGACTCTCCTTTCCTCTATCGAAATCCTTAGCTGAGTAGAATCATCAGTTCTTGGAAACGTTCTACTTTTAAGTAAGATTGACCTTGATCTTTAATGGATCCTGCAAAAACAATAGATATTTGCCTCTACCCTTGGCCAAACTACACAGTTTGTATTCTAGTGTGAAAATACAGTGTTCCTTGATACTTGCGGGTCTTAGTTTGTCCGTTAAGTGTTTCTTGATCTATGATGCCGATATAACTGCGATGTAACCATAACAAAAACAACTTAGATCTGACAGTGTGACAAAGAGTGTACTATGATTTATAATATTAAGATAGCAGCAATGGTGTTCATTGTTACCTTGATATCGCTGACACAGGATTGAACACCTTCGTCATTGTCATTGGCTGTTGCCTCTAACACCTCTTCACACTTTTTTAAAAAGTTCTGATTCTGAACAAATGTTTTGCAAGCTTCATCAGCCAAAGTTTCATTCCACCCATTTCTCCACGTCGGAGGCTACAATAAAAAACAGAATACTTTAAAATTGCATTTCTACAAATTTGCGAAGTATATTATTATTAATAAACTAAAACGTTTTAATTAGATACATTGGTTTGTTAATTCTATGATATAAAACATTATTATTTAACAATGTAATAATTCTGTTGGTACTTAATAAGCTTCATATTTGCAAAACTTTCACTAAAGTGAGAAAATTCCTATTGACAATAGAAAACGTGGTACAAATGTACTTAATTGGCCGAGTAGTCTTTTTATGAACAGCAAAAATAGTGTGTGTAAAAGGTACACCCTGTGACAAATAGTCAGAGTGAAAGGCGATGGCGGTGTAGTTTCGTTCAACCAGACGCTTGATCTCTTGTAATTCAACAGCCTGGTCAAACACAGTACTTTAAAATTACCATCATCAGAGGGCAGTGTTTTTACTTTCGTTTCCGAACGTTATCTTAACGCCATTAAAACATTTCAAAGAATAATGAAATTAATGAAAAAAACTTACCTGTACATGCATTCCTGAAGTACCCGTGTATTCACTATTATCGAGAAAAATGTCGTGAACAATGAAAATACATGAAATCATTCTTGAAATTTGAAGCATTTCTTATTTTTTTCTTGATAATAGTGAAAACACGGATACTTCAGGAATAAAAGTCAAGGTAAGTCTTTTTCATGAATTAAAATATTGAATGTAATTTTGCGCCACTCAAATTCTGACTTCAAAAGTTGAAACGGGTGTGTCTACCTTTGAACAATGAAAACATTTACCAAAACTCTGGTAAGCCTCGTTATGACTTCACAAAACGATAGCACTGAGTTTGACTAGACTCTCTGTTCGGCGTAGCTTGCGCAGACAACAAGAGTCTGGTTGAACGAGACTGACGGCGGTGCAACATAATGCCAGAATCCCAATGAGATCCTAGGTGACACTAATGAAGGCACAAGTACATCAAAACAATAAAACTGAAAAGGTAAAGTTTTATTTTATACACAAACAATGTACGAATTAAACGGTTCCCAACGTTTAAAGACCGACTGGTCCTTTTGTCAAGCTATGACTGAGTGTTTATAAAGTACATTGTTTGGGTTTGAAGTAAGATTTTGATACAAGATATTTCCAAACTGATTATTCTTATTGAATGACAAAATTGACGTTCAAGAAAAAGATGTTTTAAAGTATGCTAGGAGTGTACGGTTAAGAATCAGACAAACAAAGACAACACGTATACAATTTTCAGGATGGGAATATACGACAATTGTAGAAAATACAGAGGTTGTGACCATTAACACAGTCATATATGACCCAGAAGTAAACTCAACCTGGAAATTCTTAGCCTGCAAAACTGTAATAAGTATTAATCGAAGGTTGTGCTGTTTTATATGCTCTATCAGTGGAAAAATTGTTTTCAATGAAACGGCAAGTGAAACTGAAATCTTTGTCTTTTTCGTGATACATTGCTAACAAAATGTATTCGGTCATAATTTGACAACGCTACCAAGCTGATATTATATGCACTGGAACCATTTACCAGTCTGTAAATATATTTCTTTCTTCGTAATATAGCAACATATGTTAAACCTTACATAGATATTTAGACACACGTATAATCAACATATACTACAAAACATATCGTCGTAGACATAATACGTTTATATCTAGAGAAACATATTTCATGGTATGCATTGCTGTCATTCTTGAACAGCAAATGGAAGTGTTTATTTCTTCTTACCACAGGTGCGTCATCAGCATCAGTTGTATAAACGATTTCGAATTTCGACGGGCTGTCTTGCTTGCTTAAAGATCGTCTATACCTGTGATGTGAAGTTGAACGCTTTCTTCTGGATGGTTCATCACAGGTTTTAAAAAAGCTACCAGTATCCGTATATGAGCACAACGCCGTTTCTGTTTTGATTGAGCATTCTATTGTATTGTTGAAATCTGAATATGAAGTTGAGTTCGATCTACATTTACAATATCGCGGCAAATTTATGCTTGCATCTGGCAAATTGATATCACCAAATAAACTCTCGCTGTTTTGAGTTATCCTGAAACATAACACAAGTTGTACTAATAATATTATAACAAAAATAAGAAATAAGTACATTAAATTGACTTTCAAAAAAAGATATCAAATATCTCATCAATGAAGAGAATAAAGCATTTGTTCATATACACTCTCTAACATAACACTATCCTGAAACAAATATAGTTGATACCATACACTTCAACACTGACGAAGCATACTGGCTATTGGTGATATAAATCCTCAATAACAATTATCCTGGTTGTTTCATTTTATCTGTCAACGACATTTGAAATACGACGAAGTAAAAGTCAATTATAATTTTGTTGATATCAGCAAGTTGTTCAAATTGTAAAATCAACTTTGTCCCTTTACGAAACGTGGTCATTGACCTCTTGTTGGTAACAGGCGAACACAAGCTGTTAACATACTCATTGATTTTAGCCTTGATGATCTGAAACTAACAACGATCTTCCATCAATAAAACATATTCATTATTATAAGACAATAATTCATAATTAGTATCGTATTATGATTAAACGATATACCAACGACTGTATAGTACGACATCATACTAACTTCCAATCAAGTGCGAATGTTTCCTCGTTATTTGCCGTCCCTCCATTTTTAGTTCTAAAGTCGTTGTTTTGGTTACCATCCAAATATCCACACAATCCCGACGACGTTTTCCAATCAGCAAGAGAAGGCTTGATAGATATACCGTTAATATATACTCTATCGTTCCACGATGAAAAGTAGTGACTAAACGAAATCTGTGTTCCCGTAGGAAGTGTTATCTAAAATCAAAGTAAACCTATATTTTAATTTCTGAGGTGATAAATTACAATCTTGAATCCTCAAAATTCTATTTAGGAACATTTTATGTAGCATATCGATTTGCATTAATTTTCACCTTTTGACGCTGGTGTTAAAATTTCATTTAAATTTACTGATTGGAAACTAATTTCAAAACAGTTGCTAGTTCCTTTAATTAAAGTTAAAGATGAAATTATTTTTCTGAAAATTAAAGTTCCTGTAGAATATAAATCCAATAAATCGATATTTTCATTTGTTAATTTTCTCTCGCCATTCCTTTCTTCCTACTTAACCAATGCTATACCAATTGAAATGAAAACAATTAGCTATTGATAATGACAATTGATCCATAAAAAAGTAAATATGATATGTTCCTCTAAAGCATACTGTTCATACTGTAAAATATATGTAATCTACAACACCTCTTGCGTTGAACTAGAAATGCTTTCTTTAGTGGCTTTTTAAGATAAACAGTGTTGAATACTGAACACATCAAAAAACTAATACAAAACAGTGTTGCATAACTACTTACCGTATAAGTGTTACCGTTCTTGTTAATTATCATGTTGGTGTCGTCACAGAATGACTGCTCTACATATCGATTGGATTGTGTCCCACTGGTAAACCAGCCAATTTCTGCATCGCAAAAGTTTGCGACGAATACAGCATCGTTATTTCTAACTGCCACTCCACAGTTGCATGTGGGTCCAATATGGTTTAACCAACATGTCTGATACATCGCGTGAACCTATAGGGAGAGCATAGCTTTTAGAGTGGTAGATCTATTACTAAAAACCTCTATATTAGCAATATATCTGAATATTTTAATATCATATTTTAATAAAAACAGTGCAGTTGATTTTAAATCTATCATTAAGACTAATAAAATCAGTGTAACCCGGGTATATATATATGATTTATATATATACGGTGTGCGTATATATATATTAGTAACGAGTGCTGTCAACTGTATGTATACCCATGTATTGTCCCGTCTGGTAAACATACTGTGACGTCATCAGTTCGGAATGTATGTACCTGTATTGTAACATTCTGACTGAATTGTACGTACGACGTAGACCTTGGACATGTCCCTTGCACGAATAAATCACCCTATATTCCCGCTGCTATATCTCGGCTACTGGGTAAATACTTATTACCCAGTGGTCATTTTCACAATCCAACTTGTAAGAGAAGGATCTGTGATCTTGTGATTATATTTATTCATATGAGATACATTTGTATAGAGGCTTATAGAGACATTGCCGCCAGTATTGAACTGTATTGCGGTATTAATGTAACAACTATCGTGTGATTGTAATATTTATAATATATATATAGCGGTCAGTATTCAGAGGTTCGATACTTCGGTCGGCGCGGAAGTTGTTTAGTATTTATTGTATGTATATGTGAGGGTGAATGTATTTATTGTATTGTCCTGTATTGTAGGTTTTCGGATATAGTAAAGATGATGAAATTACACAACTTATCCGTGTTTGATTAACTGAGCAACCGGTGACATAAGCTAAGGTCAACGTATGAAGAAATGAGACAATAACTCCTGTGAAATCATAGAATCGATTATGTTTTTCTGATCTGTTACATGCATACCCGAGAACGGCAACAAAGTTATCACCACATAACCTGACTAACACAGAAAAAAACAAACGATTCCTTATATTTACAGTATTTGTATTAAATTGATCATAAATGGCTTTGTCATCTATCCAATTTAAATATACTCAAGTGGAAGTATCACCCCAAAACCTTATAAAAACTAGAAAACTTATCCTTCAAAATCAAAACTGTATGATATATGTGAATTATATTCAGACATGATCGGGAATTACATCAAGTTTTAATCCAACCTAACTTGGTGACTTTTGCCTTGGAGCGATGTTTTTTGATTACGTATTGTACTTATTGTAATGTTTGTGGCGTAATATTCACAATGTAATACCTCTTATTAGAGAGCAAATTACAGTAATTTGTTTGAAATGTTATTGAAATATATTTGTAATGAAGAAGAAAACATACTCTATATGTTACGGGTAAAATAATTTTATGCCACACGTATATTTAGACAACAATAGCATTCTGTTTTACATGTGCTGTTACTATAAATAAACCTAAGGTTTTTCTACACAAAAGAAAAAGAATATTTCGACTTACCCAATACAGTTTCTGCGGGTTGTGATATAACACATATTCACCAAGCCTTTGATTTTCCCATCGTCTGAAAAATAACCCTTCAGTTTATGCTATGTCTTAATGATCGACAAATTTAATAGCTACATTCAAGATTTACTGGTAATGCACATGCATTAACGACTGTAATGTTATTACTTTCGCAATCAAAACTTCCCAAGAGAATACAGAATGTAACTAAAGCACTCACAACATAAATCACAATCGACCGTGAAACAGAAGTAATTATCAGCCGCATTACGCTTGGTAATGGACAGACGATTGTATTTCATTACCAATGAATAGCGGGTTAATTTCCTTACAACGAACGTACGGATTCATTACCAATGTAAAGATGTATTCATTATCACTGTAAAGAGTGTCTAATTACCAAAGTACAGACGGATCCATTACTATAAAGCAGGTGTCTTCATTACATATAAATAGACGGGGACAGATGTACTTACCGTCCATCAAACGTTCTCATGTGGGGGTCATTATTGCTATAGCATTGATTATTCAGAACGATGGAATCTGCATCTTGTACCACAACCTAAAACACATGTAAGGTATAAAGACATATATGAACAAGCATATATATGAAATGGTTAAAAAGCAAATTTATTATTGCAACGCTAAAAAAGGAAAAGACTGCGAGTCTACATAATCTTTATTGTTTTCCCCGAGCAAAAGTAGCACAATACTTATTTTATACGTTTCCAAACTAAATACTGATTTTGCGATGTAAAATGTAATGCTCCAATGAGGGAAAACTTGAATGGCCATTCGATTTCTTACTTAAGCGCCATATTCATATAGCGTACGCGCAGGACTATTACACCAATATACTAGCTGAACTTTTTATCGGTCAATGTGTATGGAATATTTAATGGTTCGTTTAATAGTTGGCAGTGTTGGAAACCAATTACATGAAAGTAACTAGCTATAGACAGGTCATTAAAGATGTTGCAAATATTTAAGACAAAAATCCCACATTCACTTTTTTTTTTATCAAACTATATATATATATGCTGAAAGGATAAAGAAACGCGGGGTAACACAACATGCAACAATTCTTAAACTGCTTGGCCTAAACTTATGAAAACCGATCAGACGATTATCTTGGTGTCTGTGCACTCAAACATGCGTCTAAAGCTACTCAATCTAGTAATGGACCATACCACAGAGAGAAAGGGTTGAAATACAAAAACATGTGTAGAATAATGATGACAGCTCGTCAACAACACATCTTGCCATACCAGTTGATACTCATGAGGTATATACACATTGATTCCACTATTTACTGTCAGTTTTTGAATTTCTTGCAATTTATCATGGCTGACAGAAGTTCAGAGGGGTCAGGCTATTGCATTGTTAACGCAAGATAAATAGGCAACAACAGGTTGATATGAAGTTCCGTGTGAATGTTTCCACTAAAGGACGTCTAGTCCACCTGCGTAATCGCAACGTTTCTGCAACTGAAACCGCTATAAATAAGGTACGCAATCATAATCGCCATATTCAGCCTAAAACTGTATGGTACCGAATGTGCGAGCTTGGTCCGCGAGCTCGTTGTCCTTATGTGGGACGAACTTAACAAGAGGTTAAAAAAGTGAAACAATATCCCCGTTAGAAGGATATATGCAATGATGATCTCCATGCAAAAGATCATCAGGGTTGTGGCAGATGCGCGAGGGGAATATACGAGATACTGGCGAGTCAGTCGATTTCACTTTGCGATGTAGTGGGGAACCGTCAAATGTGCTTCAATACCTCATGGATTTGTTCAAGATCTAATGAAATTTTGGCAATTTTTGTATTAAAGACTTTTTTATACTTACCAATATGTCTGGTTTTGAAGCACTTTCCCAAGCCGGGTGATACAAGACACTGTCGAAAACCTTCAAACGTATATATGAAGAACGACTTCCTACATTCACTGAGTTGTCTGATGCACCGTATACCTTCAGGGACTTTGTTGTAGCCCAATCGTTAGGAGATATACGAACACCGCAGTTATTATCACCAAAAGTTACTGGTTCGTTGCTAACACCTCCAGATGAGCATTGGACAGTGTCCGTCTGATCTGGCGTCTGGATGCGCATTTCTGTTCTACAATTATCTTCCGCATGATCATGCCATCTGCAAAAGGTATCGTATTACAAATCTTTAAAAGGATAGGTCAAAGTAGTTTCATGTTGTCAATCATTTTACGAAAAAATGTTACTTTATTTACTTTTATACATGAACAACTATTATTTTTTTCCATTTCACGGACGTGTATAAGTTAAAAAACAAAACACCCCTGCAGACAAAATTCCTCTTGGCAATTTGTAACTGCCACATAGAAATTATTCAGCCGGTAAGATCAGAGGCGGGTGGGGTTTACACTAACTTAGCCCCTACAAGGTCGATCAGTAGACAGACAAGAGCATACAATGTAGACAATATCGAATGAGAAGACATTTTTGATAATTTTTCGAAAATTGCAGCTTGAGTACTGTTTTCTCTTTTTTTTAAAGTTGGCTTTTCATATCAGTGTGCGGTAACGGATAAAGAATTTGATTTTGAGATAAAGCATGTGGCTGGAAAAAAACCTGTTGTCAGGGAAACAGAAAGCTATATCCCTAAACTACATAACTATATCCCTAAAACCAGATGTTTTCTGTATATAGAAAGTTATAGCGGGTGCTGTTTCAATCGGATAAGCTGTTTATCAATATAGTCTTACATATCAAAAACGGTAATGTTAACTTATGCAAAACAAACTAACAATATTATCTTCTGGTAAGTCATTGTTTTAGTAGCTTTCCATTGTGGTAATCAGTGTGAGAGCTGTATGTGTTTTATTTTTTTGTATATAAGTAGATAACTTTAGGTGTTGTATTTAGCCTCGTTGGCAACCAAAAAAATAACAACGCCTAACATGTTTATCAAATGAGTTCCGAGTGAGAATACGTATGGTGGCTGTGAGATATACATAAATATCACATAAATTAGTGAGAAAAGAATAAGTCAAGGACCGTTGCTCTGCTTCTTTATCATATAGGAAATTCGGCCAGTTAGCACCGACACTGACGTAGGTGTAATAATAAGTCAAAAGAAAATCGGACATTTATGAATATTATTTTACGAAATTCGATATACATGTAGCGCCTCTCTAGCTACGATTAGCCATTATAACGCAGTTAGTTTCATATTGCGTATATCATGTAACATTCATATCACAACATATTTTAATAATGTTGCAAGAGCTGCAGTATCAAGCTCAAATTACTGGCCATATGTCACGTGGCTCCTTGTAAGCGTACCCGTATATATGTGCTAGAGGCATATTGGTATTCTGTCGTACGCATAAGGGTCCTGGATTTTGACTAAGACTAATAACTCATCCCCCCCATCTCCCCCCTAACACACACAAATCAGAGGCATGACAGAAAATAAATTTAAAAATGTGAAATATGTATGTATATGTTTTTGAGAGTCGAACATGCTTACTGATCTCTAGTCAAAGTGAGAGGATAAACACATCCTAATGGGACAGTAAGTGTTACTAAAACGTCGATCGAGGAACCTTCCGCTACGGTATAGGAATTCTGATCCGTCTGTAAGAAAACAAAGGCAGTTAAGAAGCCGGAGAACTAATATATCAAGGTCGTTAAGATATAATCAAATGAAAAATTACGAAAAACGAAATACCATTTCTGTCAAAACACAGACATGGGTTCTTTATTCTCTGTTTAACAGGAAACGTTCGTCCATACATCTTTCATAATTTTTTTGTACTAATTTAAACCGCCTTTAGACATTAAACGTTTGTTTCTATTTCAAATATATTTTTATACTGAATGGTTAGACAGGAAGCGTTCATCCATACAACTACTTTATAGGGCTGTTAAGTAGGAAATTTCCCCAATACAATTAACCGTGTTGTATGGCATCTTCTTGAGAAGATATGAATGTTTTCACTGTAAACCACAAAACACCAGAAGGTAAAAGCTCTGCAAAATATTCACACTGAGGATAATCATGTTCATCAGAAAGACCTTAAGTTAATAATACATGGTAATCTTATTATACATACCGTAAAACCAGCTTTAAAGGACTCACTTGACCTAAAAGGGCCAATGGAACTCTCGTTAAGACCACGCAGACGAGCTTCACATCTTACCTGAAAAAAAACACACAGTGACAAAATGGCGAAGATATACAAAACATATAGTAACACGCCTAACAGACCAAAAGAATGAACCATATTTCTAAATATTTTCTTCGGGTTGGAAAGTAGAGATGGGAAAGTATACATATGCATACATGTTCATATTGTGCAACCAGCGAAACGTGTCTGTGAGACGTTTTTGATGACTAATACATAATGATAACTGACCGGTAAAGCACATGGGCAAAATGTGTACGAGTTGATAACAATTATATCTCTGTTGATTTGGCTATGTTATAAGCGTATGCACACTGAGATGTAAATAATTTTCATAATGAAGCTTAATCGACAAATCAATTCAGCTACAATTTGTTTAATACCTTCTTTTCAGATATGCGAGAGTCTATGAGCCCCCTCATCTCGATTCAACTCTAATTTCCAGAAACAGAGAATCAACTTATGCAAGTGGAAGCCATCTGAAAACGCGGCAGCAAGCAAGTTCTGAATTAGCTTGCCAAATAAATCCCAACAAGACCGACAAGAGTAACACAAACGCTTAACACTTCCACTGACGTCAATGTGGATGTCATGTAATATGTAGCTATTATGTAAAAGTTATTGAAGGTGAGCTAGCAAGTGTAAATGCAAAGAAACTAGTTAAGCTATTGTGTTAGTTATATTAAATATAAGTTATCACAATTAATACGGATGCGTAGATGAACATTGCTTCCGAGAAATGACATTTCATCATGGTTACAGAATGTACCATATAAACCTTACTTCCGAGTGAAGGTGTTTATCCCGATTATCATGTAAGCTTTACTTCCTGGAGAAGCTATTTAATCATGGTCACCATGTAAACATAATTTCTGAGGTAGGACACTTTATTAAACTTACTTCCTGAGGAGGTTATGATATCACGGTTACCATGTGAACACTACTTCTGAAAGGAGACATTCTATCAGAGGGTGAAATTAGCAGGTAATTTAATTCTTTGGACGCTGCAGCTCTATCTGATTTTTAACAGATTTATACTATGGGTAAGCACTATTAAATGAATCACTCAGGAAATAAAACGGTCTGAAATACCCAAACCATCGCACCAAATATACCTTCATCTTATTCTGGTTATGATTATGTCAAAACGAGGCGTCATCGAAGTAAAATTTGCCGAATAAAAATGTGTACTTACTATTTCAAAGCCAGTAGAAAGAGTGGTGACGGCCATCTATTGTTATCATTATTCTATCGAAACGGCACAAAATATATACCAACATTACTCCCATTTAGAATAATAGCTACACTCGCCACAATATCATCAGTGAACAAATGTTAGGAATTTACTTACCAGGAAATTCAGTTTGTATGTATCTCTCCAGCATTCCTCCAGCAAACGAGTGGTCGACAGGTTCGTGTATGCTACCAGTGCATGGGAACAATTCGTCAAGAGGTTATCATTGACGTACCAGTTGATGTCGTATAAATACTGCTCAGCTGTTTCGTTGTCATAATTGAAAGTTATATTGTGTTCAAATTTTATTTCAGTGTTTACTGCGTTGACACTAGGGAAGGTTAGAGTTGGTCCTATTCTCTCTTCCAGTCCAGGCATTATCGTGACAGTGTATGGAATGTCTACAAAACCTAAAAAACATAATAATGATCCTTTAACTTTTTTCTTTTTTTTTCAATTTTCACTCATTATTAGTCATCTTATCACATGAAAAAGTGTAATATTTGCGGCGTTGATACGGTATCAAATATTGACTTTATATTAGATAGATCTTGGTCTGCTGTTACTCTCGAGATGTTGTCTCAAAAGTAGACAAAGATCAGTTCTATCCAAGATTGGGTCAATACATGTTTAATGCCATAAAACAAATATGAAAATAAGTTATGTTAATAAAATGATGATGTGTGCCAATGTGTACGAAAGCATGAATTGGTAAGTAGTAGTATTATGACGTGATATGTAAAGCAATTAAATGATGCAGAACGGATTAATCATAATCCATTTCGAAAAAGGATATGATTCCAAAATGACAACATATAAAATGCCGCCATTGGAATGTTCTTTGTGTCATCAGAAAACATCCAGCTGCCACATACATCCAGCTGCCACATATATCGAATTGTGTTCTGCAATGTACAAGTATCACCTAATAATTAAACCGGTGTGACAGCATTGTTCATTTATTTCTATAGGTCTCACCCCATCAAAATTCTGACAATATATAATATACAATAGTATACAAAATCATGTATAGACGATCTTTTCTTTAAGCAAGTCGAAGAGGAAAGTTATATATATCTTATAGACAAAGCTATTAAGCATCAAATTAAAACATATAATACTGTATATTCTAATTGACGGCTGTGATAATTGAAGTAATGAATCAAAGAACGACCGCAATCTAAAAACATACAAAAATATCATCCTTTCCAGAAGAAAAGCTCGCAAATTAAAAACGGATTGTATCTCGCATCCTCTCTTGGAAAACAGAGTCCTATATATTTAACAAAATATATCCCTATAACGAAAATAACCTCCAATATTGAACAACATATTCCCTTAACTCTCTAGCGAAATAACCTCGAATATTAAACAAAATATATCCCTCACCCTCAAGCGAAATTAACTTCCCTTACCAAAAAACATATCCTGCACGATCTATCGATAAAAACCTCCAATGTTATTCGATATATAACCCTCCTCGCCCTCTTGCGAAAAAAAAATCCACTTAAAACAAAATGAATCCTTTACCTTCTAGCGACCACAAACTCCAATATCAAACAAAATATATCCTTCACGTTCTACCGACAACAATCCCCATATCAAACAATATATATCGCTCACTCTCAAGCGAAAACAATCTTCCGCACTAAACAAAATATTTAACCTATCCTCTGTCTTGGATTTAAACATATATGCCGTAAAGCGGCGTCGATATTGATCAAAAGAAACATATTCCCGTACCCTTTTCCGAAAAGAAGAAAAAGTTGTATAAAGAAATACAAACACAGAAGAAAAGATAAAAAAAAAAAATTCCTTACCTAATACTTTAGACCACTCCATAGCAATACCTCAGTCAGCTCCATTTATCCTTGAAGTTAACGTTTAAAAAAGTTAGTGTTTCATAAACATGCAGTGCTGTAGCATTGTTATATATAAACTTGTTAACGCATTTAAATTCACAGCATGTATTACACAGAAAATTTTGCAAATTTACGATATTCGAAAATATCGCTACGTATTTGTTTGTGAATTCATTTTTCAAATACGTAAGAACATGAAGAATGACGAATATATAAAATGAAGCACCTGGTATAGTGAATGAAGCAACCACAAATTAAGCGTGAAGCTTTCAAAATAACACATAAAACGTTCAGCATAAAGTATAAACAATAGGTAGAATGAAAATATTTAATTGTATTAAAACATATTTACGTTTTACAGTAATTTAATAACCATTGTTTCCACAAACTGGTGTTATCATCTGATAACCTGACCATAAAACGTGACAAGTTTCCACGGCGTAAACATGTGGATGGATCTATGCAAATTTCACTCGAAAAGGAAACAATGGTGTCACGTCGTAACCATTGGATGTGGGCGGAGTTAACGAAGGCTTAGGAAAATTTTAGGTTACTTTTATATAACCCATAAGTCATTGATATCTTTGAAGAAGAAAACAATGTTTGACCGCTGATCAGATGAAAAACATTGTAAATAAAAGGATTCGTTTTCAATTTTGGTAAGAGTACGAGGTAATAACTCAAGTTGAGCACATATTCAAGTTACAGGTGCTCAATTGGAGTGATCACCTCGTATCATGACTACAAAAAAGGGTTATTTTTTTAAGAAGGCAACTGGAAAGAATTAACAAAAATGATGGATGCAAAAAGCCATGAAAATAATCATTTAAGAATGGAGAATGCACAGTAGTTACAAATGTACAATGAAATACGCGATTAAGATTTAGTGCGACGCATGTAGCATTTAGAACGAAACATATGTAAATAATATCGTGAAGAATGAAGAGTAAATAATTGATGACATTCCATACATTATACATTAGATACACAATTAATAAAAGTAAAACTGGATTATAACAAAATATGTAATCCGATGCAAAAGAAACCGTTGGATTGTAATTGATTTTTAACGCAATATATAGTCCTGTTTACTTTTTTCTTATTATCCGATAATTAAATAATAAAAAATATGCATCGTGATGAAAATAGCAGTGGCTTAATTTAGAAAAGAAATGTGGTTCTCTTATTAAAAACAAAACGAATATCAAACAAAATGTATCACATAATTTACGGCGTTATCCATTGAATATACCAATGCCATATTTTTTTGCGTATTAAACCATGTAATATGACCTATCAGCCGTGTTATTGGTTGTAAGATTCAATAGTTTCAATTGTGACGTCACGCTTAGGACAATTCATTACGTCACAGACTTACACACTGGAGTTTAAATGCCGGCTTATTACATTTCAAGGTTGCATGAAAATTGTCATTTTACACAAATAAATGCCACAAATCTTGATTATGTGATAAAAAGGATCTTACACTCGTTTCAATTTCATGCGAAATTGATGAAACTTGTCACGAATTTTTAATTTAAGCTCGCCAAAGAATTCTTAGACTCGTATCATAAATCTCATATGGAATGGAAACTCATGTAAGATCCTATATATAATGTATGGATTTTATCACAGATGTTAATATTTTGACAAATAGATTATTATACAATGTACATATTCGTCTTTCAAAGTATAGGACAATATGTTTATTTACAGGTGCTAGGATCGATTAACCTCACCTTCATAAATTGGCAACATTTTAAGGGGCTGTGGCGAATCGACGCAAACACCCGTAATTCGAAAATACAATATTTAATTGATTTTAATGTTAAATAATAATTTCAAAAACATTCTCTATGTAAAAATGTTCTTACTGATACAGCCCGGTGTGAATCCTGTTTCCGATGATTTACCATCTGGACACTTTGTTTCAGTTCCTAAAAATTAAAAGATAAATTGAATCAAATAGATGTGTTGTAGCATTTGCTTTTAACATAAAAAATCAATAAACGATAAAAAAAATGTATTTAAGTAATATAACATTTATTATTATTATTTTATTACTTTATTGATTCAAACAAAATAGCCTAGGTATTCCATTTTTTTGAAAGATTGCTAAGTTACACATTCACCCCTTGACATTTGAATTGTACTTGCCCAATCTTTGATTTGGTAAGGTTAACATGTGAATTTAGGGTGAATAGGTTGAATATACTTACCAAAGCAATATCCATAGTCTCCTGGGGTTCTCTTCAGATCGTAGACGTAAAAGGAACCGCAGTTTTTTACTCGGACTGTTGACCATGTAGGGAAACAAGGTGAGAAAACGCCAACAGCACACATCGTCACTGATTTAGTCTCTCCGTTAGTTGGTAAAGCTACAAATGAATCAACACGATTTTTATTTAAATATATTAACCGTCTTATGATCATATCAAACTTTCAAACCATTTCTCACTACGTATCAAGCTGTCATTAGATTTTACAAACCAAAAGCATTTAACACACAACAGAAGAAGGATGAAGTTAAATAAAAAAAGAGTCTTGGTTCCTGACGTTGTCTTTTCCTCGGCATAGAGTTTTGACATTGTCCGTATATCTACTCTAACTCTCTTCATTTCCTGTCTTTCCATTTAACTATTTTTATACAAATATGTACTAATGATTTGTGTAAGAGCATGTCACACGCCGACACAACAATAGATAAATATACCTCATATTGTTGTTGGATTGTTAGGTCATGAACTCATTCACCCCTTAAGACACATTTGAACGCCAATTCAATCGTTGAAATAGTTCATGATGAAATTTCAGTGGGAAATGGTAGAAGGAAATGACAAAAAGTATAAATGTGTTTCAGACCAAACACTGTTCAAATCTTAGTGTATGCTGACAAGTTTCGCAAGTTATTTTAAACTATGTGTTTAATTGTTATGTTTACTTTCATTGCACGCAGATAAAAAAGATAAAAAAATAAAAAACATGTTAAGCTTTTAGATGAAAGAAGACAAAAATATCCTTGAAATACTGTATGCACAAAATGTATGGATTACCTCCCCTTATACATAACAGGTATAGTTATATAGCGAATACTAGTACCACAGGAGGAAATCTGATCACAGGTCTAATTGTTAAAGTAAGAACATTTACTACTTCGAAGACTCTAGAAACCAGATTGTTTATGGAAACTATATACAGAAAGACTTCGAAATAACGATTTCTGGATTGCAACTTTTTTATTGTTTGCATGCATAGAAGAGGCAAACAAAATTTTCACATTTATAAATACCTCGCCCTTTAGTAAGGATCAATATACCAGAGAAAAAACACGCAAGAAAGACTTTTTTGTCAAAGTGTGAGAAAGTTAACAAACGAACTATTCCTACATTTGAATTTGAAGAGTTTAAATGTGCCTGTAGGGATAAATATGTTAATTCAGGACAAAAAATAAGATAAAATCACATTACGAGTATAGCAGAATGTAGAATTAGGTATTTTACAGATATCTAATTGAACGTAACGATTTTGATCCGCCTCAACAAACCACCTAACTTGTATAGCGCTTGTTATGGCAGTATCCATTTCGGAGAATTCGGAGTATTTATGCAACAATGTTTACATTATAGGCGCCAGGTGTTCCCTGTTTAAATAAATATATTTTCAAAAATATGTTACATACTTTATATCGGGAACTTCCTTGTTGGGAATTTACCTTCCCGGTTGAAAAGTAGGACACTTTAATGTTAACTGAATAATATCAGCTGTTTTAAAATAATCACAGCGATGTAGATGGTATTGAATATCCATAATGGATTTGTTGAATTGATTAATTATAAATTATCAAATTTATTTTGATATACTCCAATATTTCCATTTCAAAATGGAATTACACAAATTTATATGTTCCTTGCTATCCCTATTAGTTTAATACTTGAGGAGATTGTATAGCGATGAATTTGAAATACATGATTAAAAAAAGAAAAAGAAAATAACAACGTAATTATTGTGGACATGAGTATGGAAAGAATGAACTAAGTATAAACTACCTAGTCTCGTCTTTATAAAATTAATAAATAAGACAATAACGAAGTGTCAACTCAAACGCAATTCGAACTCTTTAAATTAGGATGAAAACGAAAAATAATATTATTTACAAGGAGACCCTTGAAGCGTACAAGTGGAATAAATTTAAGTAGTAAGCGTGTGTATTTAGTGGTCGTCCTTACCTTATTGTGTGCACATCGATAAAAATAACATAACAGCGAGACTATCAGAAATTGTTTACATTAACGCGCGAGCGATTTATATTAATTCACTGAATAAATTATGGTAGTTTTCATTATTCTACATGTATACACTTGACTTTCATAACTTTACAGCAAATGTTAGTAAGTTTTTTCGTTTATAATGGAAATGTCCCGGTATGCAAACTTACAGCTATGGTTCAGATGTAATGTGATAAGCGATATAACTCGATCTGTCCCGTAGTAAACACGTGTTTATATCCCTCCCTCTATGACAAGACTAACAGTGGTATGCCGTTGTCTGGCTTGCTGTCTGGCTATTATGTTTCATCAGACTCATTATACTGTTATATGTCATGAAGGGGGAGTTTCGTGAACTTCAGTCGAGTCTGAAGCCCAATAATTTGCGTTAACATAGTTTGTCCACAACATAACTTAGTTTCACTTTTTCACCTACACTCACAATACACGCTGTACTATGCTATACATTTTAGGAAGATATAATGTCTCATAAAATTAGGTTTGGCAATACAGCCTCAATGGTACATTTTAATTATATCACCCAAATTTACAATAATTCGTATACTTCTATATCGTGAAAAGACATAGAATCGCACAAAGTAAACTAGACAGACATTGACCGCTTTCGAATCGAGTCTGCATCCATCCTGAAAAAAAAACTAAAATGATGTCCGGAATATTAAACGGATAACTATTAATGAATTTCAAAAAGGTAGTTTGATTTCAGTTTCAGAAATATCGAGAAAAAGGGGAGTGAAAATTCAATGTTACAGTTGGGCATAGAAAACGAAAATTAACTAAAAATACCCTTTAATATGTTCCGAAAGAAACGTACAGAGGAGAGTTTGGCCATTGCTTTGAAGCTTGCTTCAGATGGCGCCAAGACTACTAGCAGTTAGACTTTTTAGAAAATCTGACAAGATTATCGATTTTAGGGCAACACCTTTCTTCTGCAACGTTAACTCGAAATTTATTTATCAGATACCACATGACGGTTTACAGTAGCCAGAGGCAACAACGTTGTTTAATTTTGAAATGGAAATATTGGAATATATCAAAATAAATTTGATAATCCTTTTGTTAAGAAATTAAACAAATCCGTTGTGGATATTCAATACAATCTACATCGCTGTGATTAGTAAAGGTTAGTTAGACTGTTTGATTGTAAAGGTGTATTACCTTATTACAGTAAAGGACTAAATAAGTTGGGATAACTTGCGTCCAATCATTTTGTAAAATTTATTTTTCGAGCAAAATTAACAACGTCGTTCAACTAGAACAAGGAAACCTGAAGTAACAATAAGGTTAATTGTATAGAGTTGTTTCCAGAAAGAGAAAAGAAAGATATAACTCAATAAACCGCATCAGAGAATAGATATGAAAGAAAACACGAAATCGACTGCGTATCTACCCAACATTGTTTTATAACCCCTGTAACCATTATTTGGTGAAAGGTGCGCTCAAATTCCTAAAGATGAGCATGCTTGATGTATGGTTGTTAATCCAGAGAGAAATTTATTGGAATCATATTATAACTCGGTCAAGCGATGAAGAAACCACCTGCCTCGCCCCTTATTGCAATAACATAAAGTAAAACTTTATGAAACTTTGCACGAGCTGATTGTTGTATTCACAGGTAGTTGTAATGCTGTAAGAATTGGTTTTTGCTTCAAGAATTTTTAATCCGGTGATCGTGTATTTATCATACCCCCGCAACGAAGTTAGGGGAGTATACTGGAATCAGCATGTATGTCCGTCCGTCTGTCTGCCTGTCCCTAGTTTGTTCAGACAACTCATTCTAAAGTAATGGACGTATGTCAACGAAACTGTCCAGATACGATAGCTACCACCTGACGTTATGCGTCCAGGTATTGTTTTTTTTTGTCATGCTGACCCTTTTTGATGAAGTTATGGCCCTTTGTTGAACAAATCCTGAAACTTTTTGTCTAGACAACTCCACCTTAAGTTATGGATCGATTTCAACGAAACTTTTCAGATATGATAACTACCACCTGAAGTTGTGCATCCAGGCATTCTGCTTTCATTGACCCTTGTTTACAAAGTTATGGTCCTTTGTTGAAAAATCCTTGTCCGGACTACTCCTCCAAAACTACTGGGCCAATTTCAGCAGAAAACTTCCAGATATGATAACTACCACCTGAAGTTGTGCATCCAGGCATAATTTTTGTATTGCTAACCCTTATTTTACGGAGTAATGGCCCTTTGTTGAAAAATATTTTTCTAGACAACTCCTTCAAAACTATAGGGCTAATTTCAACGGAAGTTTTCAGATATGATAACTTCCTCATGATGTTGAGCATCCAGGTAATTTGCCAACCCTTTTTATGGAGTTATGGCCCTTTGTTGAAAATCCCTTGTTCTGACAATTTCTCCTAATCTACTCAGCCAACTTTAAAGTTTACAGAAATGATAACTGTCCCCTGACGTTGTACATCCAAGTAGTACTTTTTCATTCCAATCCTTTAAAAGGAGTTATGGTCCTTTGTTGAAAAAAAAACTTTTTTTATCTCCTAAACTACTGTTCCGATTTCAATGAAAGTTTAAAACAAAAGTATGTAAGACATCGGAGCTAGCATTATGTAACTTTTTAGTTGGCACCAATCAGGGATTGGTGTTTCGTCCAGGTTTGTTTTTTCTTAACCGGGATAAGGGGTTTGCGTTATTTGAAAACAATTGGTATGAAACGTATTGTTTAAATGATGTCTGTAAGTTTTTCATCGCTATTCAAATAATGAATTTCTTAGTGGATGGTTAAACATATACGTTGATTGAATAGAACATGTCAATACAGGTGTTAGATATATAGACACACATAATACACCACCTGAGCGGAATGCTTAACAAATAATAAGGGACCAATTTAACTTATATGACTCTAGCATAGTGTATGTATATACGTACGATGACTCTATGTACCACACAAGGGTACAGAAGTTGGTTCAACAACCGAGGCTAGTTGAGATTTGTGAACCAAAATTATGTATCCTAAGGTTGGGCATTTCTATCCTACATCATATTTTACATATGATATAGTAGGTTTTCCACCGCTTGCCAATTTATTGGATCGAGCAGTGTAGTCGCCATCCTGTGTC